TCTTTTCCTTTTTTCCTAAGACAGATTTCTTAGAACATATCATTCTCACATGTGCCCTTCTCCACCATCTCTCCCCCATCCCAGTTCTTCTCAGTCATTAGCTTTAAACACCTTACAACTTTCTAATATGGTTTATTTGGAACCCATCTATAGCCTAAGAAGCTGGAAACTGAAAATAAAAAAAGATTGTTCTGATCAGATAAAAAAATTTAGTTCTGTGCTTACCTTCATTTCCCAATGAAGTCGATATACATATATATATAAACATAAAATATAAGGTAAACTTGCAAAATGATGTTTAAATTAAGTAAATCTTAACACCCATGTCTACAAAATAGCAGTGCAAAGTCTAGGGTTAAAGGTAAAACACTAGCTTGCAGTTATTTCCCTGAGTTCCCCACTAACACATGAACTGAATCATACAGAATTGCTAGCTAGCATTTCTCACATCCCTAGTATTCAATTTCCACGCTAATTTGGCTACATGTTTTGTTCATTTTTTTTCCTCTAGAGCAACACGTAACTGGCTTCAACCAGCCTTAAGCAGTTCTTCTGTCATTATTTAAAAAGACTACACCTCATCTAAGTAGAAAATACTGAGTTAGCAGGGAAATAATTAAGTGCATATTCTTCATCTACGAGTTAAAGTTTATTTTTCGTGATAATGAAATTCTAAAGTGAGGGAGAAGACTAAAGGATGAAGTATTCCTGTGGCTTCTCCTTTTAAGTTGGAGGCCCTGATGCTCTGTTACACTGTCAAATTATAATTGCTCTTTCAAATGTAAAAAATACAGAAGTAAATGATTAAGGGAGTTCCCATATTCAAGATGCATGAGGGCATCCCCCCTACAACCCCAGCACCAGCAAATGGTATTGTAAGCATTTTTCTAACATTCAGCTCATGGGAAAGATCATATTATAATGTTTGATTATACTTAACAGTTAAAAGCATTCCATTAATCAGAAGCTGTGAAGTCAGTGGGGTGGTTGTTGCAGAGTTTAGTCTCCTCAGAGTGGTGAACAAAAAAGAGAGAAGCTGGATGCCAAGGGAAAATGCAGCATTGCAAACTGCATTAGTTAGAAAATGCAAAGAATGCAAATAGAAAGAAAATGCAGCAACAAGCACTAGCGAAAGAAGATGAAACATTTCCTAACTCTTCTATGCTAAGGCGTGCTTGTGTATCATCTGAGGATCTTACACCTTCAAGAGACACTTTTTTAAGAGTTAGTCACTTGTGCTATGGATGCCCATGTTACTTATGGCTGAATAAAGATCTTGTAACTCAGATTGCTTGGCTCTGAGTGGGATCAAAGACTCAAGAAACATAGATGCTACCTAGAGCAGACAGCTTGTAGAGTGAAGCAGTCAAAAGCCCACGGCAGATGAAACTCTGAAAATGTGGAGGCAGCAGAGAAGGTTTAAACAGCACTTCACAATGCATCTGTAAAAAGTGGTGTCAGCAAAATGAGTATCAGCTGGGAGGTAGCCATAAATCTCCACTTGGCAATATGTGTCTCTGCTGCATCCAATCCAACAAGACAACTATAAAGTTGTCTTGCAGAAGTTTCAGAAGAAAACTTTTAAAAAACTGACATGGATGGCATGAGGACCTGAAGAATGGGAAACATGATGAGATTTATGATTTGAGGCATACCTATCTTTTAGTCACTGCAGTCTTTTAACCTTTTCAATTGCAACAGCACAAACAACGTCATGCATTACAACCACAAGCCAAAAAAACTAGCTAGCAGTGATAAAAGAAAATGACTTCCAGATGACTTGCCTTCCAGAGAAGAAAGGTATCCTCAAGTCTTAGGACAAGGTTACGTTTTTTAATGGAAAACAAGATGAGAAATACTGAGTGAGAATTGTCTGACTAAAGGTACATGTTGAGTTGTGGCCTAAGCCTGTGGGATGCCTTTATGCTTGTCAGAGACAAAGGGTGAGTTTCTTCTCATCCTGCACCAGTCACCTACAAAATATTCAGAAAAAACATGTTCTAAAAAGGTCATTTCAGTCCTTTGTTTGTAAAGAGAGCCCTGGTTGATGACGTCATATATAGACATCTACATTTTGGTTGCCCAGAATTAGGTGATACAAACCACTCTCCCAGTGCCAGCCCAACTCAGCCACATCTTGAAGGCAAAGTATTTTGGAACAAGAGTCAGGAGACATGGCAGGTGCCTTGCTGGGGGAAGAAAGCTCCATTATGACACAGTGGGATATCCAGAGGAATTATCATCTGGTCAGTGAAACCATTCCATGTTTCAAACAGATACTGTTTCAGAGACTTAACTCTATCTCCCAGCTTCAAATTCTGAAACTGGAATAGAACAGGAACCAGCCTGAATAAATGTCCATAGTGCATTGGGGTTATCAACTGATAAGGATGATAGCCCAAAGGGATTTGTGGCTGCACTGACTAAATTGAACAGCTCTTCCTCATCAAGTCAGAAAAGGGACTCAGTCATAGGAGAGTTTTACTTTCTGTCTCATTAAATCACTTTCCGCAAAATACCAGTCTGAAATATTTTCTAATATATGTATTTCTCACATTCTCACATTTATTCTCCTTGCTTGAGGTGATAGAAGAATGAATGAATGCAACAAGATGCTATGAAGCCATTAACTCTATTAACTGCCCAAGAGCAAGGAGGCAGAGCTATAGGGAGAGATGTATCAGAGTCCCAGTGTTTGGGAGCTTCACTGCATAAAATTAATTTACTTGATCAGAAGGAGCTTTTTTTTTTTTTTGAGTGTCATGTTTAAAGTTCATTTCCTTCATCAGCAGGAAAAAGCCCACTTAGAAAATGCAAATCTTTCATCGAGAGTGATTGGTATTGATTTTCAAATGTACTGAGTACTGTAAAATCTTTTCCCACATGATCAAAGCTTTTTACTTCCCATATAGAGTGGTCTTCTTGGTTATCACTGTGGGGTGACCTGGTAACTCCAAGATCATAGAATATAGTCTTTATAGCTTAAGCAGAAAGAATCAGTCCTCTAACTTACGGCTACAAAACAGCTCACATCTTCTGTAGTTCAAGCACACCAAAGATATGCAATATATGCTTAAGAAGAGGTTACATGCAAATGCATAGATAGATGAACCCTCAAAGGCACTTTCCATTTTGCCTTTCCTAGCCCTGTACAGTAGCTGATAACCTTGAATGCACTGTAATAACTTCAAGTAATTTTAGGAAAAAAATACTTCAAATGGTTTTATATGAATATGCATTGAATTTATACAATTAAGAAAAGTGTAAATTGCTTACTTTTTAAAATGCAGAACATCTTAAAATACATTGCTTTAATTATTTAAAAGTACATCAGTTGCTCAAACTAAGTCACTTTAATTTAGAAAGCCTGTTGAAATATGCATAGATTTGAAATTCAACAAACTGTTAAAATTGCTCTAAAAATTCCTTCTCTCGATACCAATTCTTTCATTAATTAAAAATATTTTTCATTCCAATTGTTCTAAATGCAATTTGAGCTACAAATGCCTGTGTCCCTTTGATTTCAGTAAAGAACCACAGTAATGAAATAATTTTTATTTTTATTTTGGATCTTCATCTGAAAAAAAAACACAACGGAGTATTAAAAAAAATAGATCCTAAGTGCTGGACTCATGTCCTCTCCTTTGCCATAAGAAACACACATCACAAAGAATATCAGTGTGAGCTTCCTCACGCTGCTCCTATTGTGTACTCTAACCCTGGTCTTGAAAACCCATTCTATCAAGTTAAGTTTACAGGGCAGATTGTTGATGAAATTTCTTGTTTTTCTTCAGCAGAACTAGCCTTTTGCTTGGGGTATGAAGGGACCATTCTAAGCATCTTGTTGGACAGGTAGAGATTCAAGATCTTGCTTGCGAAAATCCAGAATACTTCTAATTGCACTCACAACACCTTTGAGGAACCCATCCAATTTTGGTTTAAAGAACATTTATAAAGTTCAATCAAGTTGATTCTTACTCTTCTTTTGGACAAGCTAAACAGATTTCACTCCATGCCCACATAAAGCAGGTTTTCCAACTGTTGTTCCTGTGCTAATAACAACTGTGAATTGTTCTTAGTGTTCCCTCCTGAAAACTCACTGACTTCTCAAAATCCTGCTTGCAGGGCTCACACGAGATCTAGACAATCTCAGTAATGACTTTCCTGTTGCCAAAACAAGGAAATTATAACTTCTGTATTCTCAATTGACATTATCCTGAGCTTGAATTAAAAATTCAAATTAAACTGAGTACCATATTAGGAGCTCAGGTGTGTTATCCACTGGATCAGATAAGTTTCTTTCAAAGTAGGTACTTTTTAGGATACAGCACATCTCTCCTATGCCCCTTTTCTATAGTGGGAATTGCATTCTGTTTTCCTCGAGTCACGACTGTCTTCATTTAATCACATAAAAATGCAAATATTGCTCGATGACAAGCAGTATGTCATACAAAACAGATAACTCTGCATAAATAAATATTCTGTACTGCTACTTACTGCTAACATGATACGATGATCTATAAATGATGTTCTGACTATCAGCAAGAGCGCAAACTTTGCGTTCCAGTTGTAAATACTGAATATTGACTAAAGGGAATAAAACCAGTTAATTTAAAAAGGAATAAATTAGTAGCCTTCAGATAATTAACTATACTCCATCTTTACTGACATGAGAAAAGCCTAATAATGTTCCATGTAGACCACACTATACAACTATTAAATTAAAAAATATTTAACATTACAGTCATTAAAAATAATATTAAGTCCTAAAGGCAACTAAAGGCATAGCAAATTTATATCTCCTAGATTAGCAAGGCTTTAGCAATTATGTGATATAGCTATTGCATATAAAAGTTCATGCAATCATTTCTGGTCAAAACCTCATATAATACAGATTGCTTGTGTGTGTAATCTTGAAAATTATCTACAGCATTCCTCTGTAAACATTAAGTTGTTAGATGCCAAAAATTCGACAGTTCTAGGCACTGAAGATTACTCACCCTTGAAGGTCTCACTGCAGTATAAATTGCTGAAAAATGAATCCCTCGTTCCTCCAGATCCATGGTCAGTCTTCCAATTATTTTGTCTATAAATAGAAACATGCATAATTTAGCAAACTCTGTAAGCTGAGAAAGCTAAAAACGTACAATAGGTGGCAAAGTAATGAGCTAGATTCATTTAGTTTATTTATGCAATCTAGGTGCTGCTACCATTTGTATGTCAATAGGTACAAATGGGATAAGACATCTTCAGTGTCTTGAAAAACACACAATTTCAGTAAGGTGATACAAAACCAATACATTACAACAGTTTGGATAAAATGGGTGGTTTTGAAGCTGACAAGTGAATACAACAGAAACAACAGCTGAAAGGTGACAAGTTTGAAAAATTAAAAGCAAGAGCAGAATAAATCAATCAAGAGATGAGAACAGGATGCGTATCCTGTCAGTCAAGTGACCAGTTCACAAATAAATAAATAAAACTGAACTATTACCCGTCTGTGAATGACAAAGCACACAGAACAACTGTTCAGTGAGAAACAACACTCAGAAGAGCACTAGTCCTCAGATGGGGGCATGATATGCATAATATTGGCAGTGATATTCCTTTTTTGCTTCAGTGGATTTAAAGCCTGATTCTGTACCCTCAATGGGATACAGAAAATTTTGCTGTTGACTACAGTGGAGGGCAAGGTAGAAATGTGCTGGCATACTTCTGAAAACAGAAGGAAAATCAAGTAAGAAAGAGAGGACCTTTCAGTGCTGTGCAGAAGATTCTCTTCTAGCTCTGAAACTACAGGTAGTTGTGACAAATACTTACAACTGATAAATGTTTTCAGTCTCTATACAAAAATATTAACATCTGCTTACAATGAGGAGCATAATAGCAGTGAATCAAGAGCTGGTATTAGGGTTGTCATTAGGACTGTGAGGGAAATAAGCCAGCAGACTGACATTTACTGTTTCAGTGCCTTCCCACTCCTCAACCATGTAATGGCTATTAAATAGCCTGGACAACACCTTTCTCAGATTTCAAGGTTATACTTTACATGATATTTTGTATTTTATTTTAATGTATTGGTAGTGGAACTTGCATTATTACCCTTTAAAATCATTTTTATTTACAGTAATTATGGTCTCCTGGCTGAGTAAAATGCTTAGCTTTTGGGAAAATGCAAGTATTGTTGTGTTTTCTTTTTTCTGTAGGGTTTTAACCAAACTGATTTCCTTATATCAGTCACGAATCATAGCAATGTAAAGTTTACTTCTAAGAAAATATTATTAAAAGCTTCTACTATAAGAAACAGATCTAGTCAGGAAAGCAAGCGCCTATGTACTACTTAATTATACTGATTGCGGGGGGTTAAAGGAATTACATAATGTAGATTTGTATTCTACATGCACAGTGCAATGCACCAGAAATTCTCAGCAGCCTCAGATAAAATTTTCAGAAGGAAAAATACTACATAGAAAAATGCATAGATCGCATTTGTTTTGGTGGTTTTTGTGTGTGTGTGTGTTTTTTCTCTTTAAACAACTGATTGCCTTCTGAAATAACACATTATTTACATTTCACTTCAGTAAGGAGCTACACGTAACTATAGTTACCAGTAAAATCTATAACTTTTGCCTTTGGGTAGATTCTAGAGGTAATTTCTTCATTTGGAGAAGCTGCTGTGAACATCCTTATGACAATGAAATTGATATAGATCTTTGTTTTCCTGTGACCAGGAAAGCAGCCAAACATTCCACCTTGCTAATGAAATATTTGCAAATTCTCCGAGGAAAAGGGCCCAGATTTGTACACGCTATTTTAAAGCACCTCAATTCCTTGCCTATATAGGAATGTTAATTATCCCCGGCTCTTTCTGCAGTGGAACAAGAGGCATCTCCTGATGGTAATATTGTTAGAGGGATTTTAGAGTGGTCTTATTGCAGGTTTTTCAGTTAGTGTGAATCAAAGAAACACCACGTAGAACTGTGAATGTAAAACAGTTTGTCCAGGATAACCTTTTTCAGTTAGCATAATTGCATGCTATGCCCTAGTGGAAGGATTAAGCTTTTCTGTCTCACTAAAGACATATTCCTTGAATTTCACCAGGGACTGCAGGATAAGTGCTATTATTAATTTCTAATCCACCTTAATTTCTTTGTGTGCTTTTACACATGGATGGAAGGGATCGAAGAGAGAAACTAAGAAGAAATGTTCTGGAAGGAGAAAGGTAAAATGAAACTAAAGGTATAAACTAGTACAATGAAACTAAAGATACAACTATGAATAAAAGAGAAAGAACAGAATGGAGCGAGATGAGAAGAAGAAAAATGGGAGAGAAGAGAAAGAGCAGAAAAATAAATGCACTGTGAATCAGAGCAGAAAGACGAATACACACAAAAACATTAAAGAACCTCATCTTAGATGGAGTTGTAGGCAGGTTTCTCATTGATTCTGAGGTATGCTGCATCCAGCAGGTAAGACTGATAAGACAGAATGCAAACTTCTCTTGAGTAGAAAAAAAAATAGAAAACTGGCAAAAATTGAGTAACACTCCCAAACACTATTTTGCGCAAAGGAAATAAAGAAGAAATACTGAAAAGAAGCATAAAGAAAACAGAACTAAAAGCAAGAAGAAAAAGTACACTTTTGTTGAATCAAGGCTAAGAAAGGGAGGGCTTACAACCTAAAAATGCTGTTACAATAAAAAAAAAGGAGTAAAAAATAATCTTTGTAGAAACTATTTTATAGAAATAACCCCATATCTGCCTATCTCTATCATGTAGGGAGGGAGAGACTAGACATAAGTCTGAATCCCTGGAACCTTGAGCAGGCTTGGATTCTGAATTCCAGTTTGGATTTTCTCATGAATGTCATTTTAATAATGTGCTAAAACTCTGGCTTACTCCAGCGTCTAGAAAGTTCAGAACAGTACATTTCCCTTGGGCAGAATCCGAGCCCATTTGTTCTGTCTGACAGAGATTGCTGTCTGCAGTGAGTAAAACAGCAGGAGAGATTTCTCTGACATTTTATTACGTCAGATTTTAAAGCCATCTACAGTGGAAAGGAAAGAAGTAGCTGTGACAAACGTAAGAGGCTTTGTGAACTTCTAGGCAGCATAATACAGGTCTGTCCTGGTTTACTTTGGGCTTACTGTTGATAGTATTAAAAAAAAAAACCACAACCAAACAAAAAAGCAGTATTTAAGGGTAAGCAATTCTCTTGTTGCCTTACAAGTATGTGACACAGAGTATATTTGGTTGCTTATCCAAGTAGAATCTACCAGCAGTCACTCCACAACAAACACCAATAACTCATGGCCTTGCAAGCAGTTACGACCTTGAAGGGTGTACTGACAACAATGTTTAGCAAATGGCTGTGGTTATGCTGCAACCGGTATTCAGCCACCTACACCAGATGGAACCTGGACCACAAGATTTGGAAGGACATTTGGGACTCTTGTCTAATACCTTTGCAATGACCCTCTTCTGAGTCTGTCCCACCCGCTGCACAGACTTTCAGTGGGATAATTTTAAGGAACTGTGGCTCAGTAACTTTCGTTTGAATTAAAACTTCCTGCTGATGGTATTTCCAGGTTTTATTCTGCAACACGTTGAGTGGCTGCTTTGGCAGATGTACCAGAAGGTGAGGATGCAGCCCACATTACCACTTCTCCAGAGCACAGCTGTGACTCAGAACACTGAGCGCAGATTTTGCAGTTGGCCATAGGAAGTGGCACATCTTCCCCGTGCACACACCTTTTCCTGATAACAGCCAGTTGACATTAACCACAAAGCTGGTAGTAGCTTATACCTTCACCATCCCAAAGGTGGATGGGACAGGAGCATTAACTTTGCTGTTCCAAAACAAAAGCAGGCTGAGACAAGGTTTGGGAGGCCTGTTCTTGACTTTGTGCAGCTGATGAAAAAAATGGCCTTTAAGGAGGGCAAGGTTTAGCCAAGGCCAACATTAAGCCAAAGCTTTTCCTATCTGATATGTTCTGAGGACAAGAAGGGAGAACTGAACAATAGTAATGGTTTTAAACCAGAAGTGGGTATTGATATTAGGAATAAATTCTTCATTCTGAAGGTGGTGAGGCACTGGCACAGGCTGCCCAGAGAAGCTGAAGCCCCATCCCTGGAAGCATTCAAGGCCGGGCTGGATGGAGCTTTGGGCAACCTGGTCTGGTGGGAGGGGTACCTTCCCATGGCAGGGGGTTTGGTACTAGACGAGTTTTGACAATCCCTTCCGATACAAACCTCTCTATGATTCTAACTTCTCTGCAATTCAGAGATGGAAATCCAGCTGCTTAATTGAGTCTAAAAGACAGTAACTTTGCAGTTGTGCAAGAACAAAGGAGAAAAGATTGCACCACTGATTTCAGTACAAAGGTATTTCTCCTGATTTTCAGATCTGCTTCTGATTTCCCACCCCCTGCTCTGGGTAGAAACTGTCATAGACTCCACGGACATTGCAGTGCATGTCCCTGAAACTACCACTGCAGTCATTTGCAGACTTTGTAACCTGATTTCTAATTTAGGGTAATAAGCCAAAGCCCTGCAAACACCCAAAAATGCCTCTCACTGCCTGTTTAGTCTGTGGCACCTCTTTTTTAGCCAGATACTGTACAAGAAAAGTTTTAACATTGAGTTGTACAAAGAGATTCATCTTTAACAAGCAGTATTTAATGCCTGCAGAACCAATGAAAGACTCTAAAATCAAAGGCTATGAAGGGCAACGGTATTGTTTCACAAAGATTGGGAAAGCATTCCCTGCTCACTCCATCAGAGGGTCTCCGCAAAGACCTTTGGCTGCCAGAGGAGTCCAAGCTGACGATGCAGGGCTCACACTCTGCACTGGGAGGATCCCAGAGCAGGAGCAAAGGCCCGTGCCTGAGGCAGAGGTGAATCATCCCTATGTTTCGGGTCACAGAGCTGTAGCCATTTCAGTGGGTTTTGAATCACTCACTCAGTACTTCAACACTATGATAATTGTGTGCTTGTAAGTACCGTGGGTGGGGAAAAAAAACCTTTTAAATAGTCACATTAAAGCATTACAGCAACAACTGGAAAAACAGAGAACACAATCTGCTTAAGCAAGAACACAAGCTTAAATGGTGAAATGTTAGTGACATCTTGGTCATATTGCTTACCATTTTCAGCCATTGCTTCCAGGGTGGAAATCTCACTTAAGCCACTACAAAGAATATGTGAGAAAGACAGTTAAAAATCTCTTACAGACAACAACGTGACCCAGAAAAGTACACAAGAGCTGACTAATCAAGGTGTAACTTTCAGCATCAGCCTACAAAGTCCCTCCATCATCTTCTCATCTCCTCATGACCCTTCTGCAAAGCAGTTTATACAAGGATGACATCTTCAGCTGATTCCTCAAAAACCTCAAACCTCCTTAGCTGAAGAGAAGCCAGACTACTGATGCTATTTTGACTGTTCTCTCCTCAGTTATCCTTGCATTTGGTGGTGTTCATCTGAAATTTGTACATGAGCTCTTTAGATTGGGTGTCATTTATTGGTGTAATTTTTAATTGCACTCTCTTAGGACCCATCCAATCATGCACCATATACTGACAGGTATGAATGCTGAAGTAGCAATCGAGGAAGATAAAGAGCAAGAGAAGCTGAGCAGAGGGTCTCACTATATGCATGCCTTTTATTTCCTTGAGGTACATTGGCATTGTTATACTCAGTATGACTTCACAGCTTTCTGCTGCTTGAGCGGGTCCAAAGAAGGGCGATGAAGCTGGTGAGGGGCCTGGAGAACAAGTCCTACGAGGAGCGGCTGAAGGAGCTGGGCTTGTTCAGCCTGGAGAAGAGGAGGCTCAGGGGCAACCTTATCGCTCTCTACAGATACCTTAAAGGAGGCTGTAGAGAGGTGGGGGTTGGCTGTTCTCCCACGTGCCTGGTGACAGGACGAGGGGGAATGGGCTAAAGTTGCGCCAGGGGAGTTTTAGGTTAGATGTTAGGAAGAACTTCTTTACTGAAAGGGTTGTTAGGCACTGGAACAGGCTGCCCAGGGAGGTGGTGGAGTCACCATCCCTGGAAGTCTTCAAAAGACGTTTAGATGTAGAGCTTAGGGATATGGTTTAGTGGGGACTGTTAGCGTTAGGTTAGAGGTTGGACTCGATGATCTTGAGGTCTCTTCCAACCTAGAAATTCTGTGATTCTGTGAAATAGCTGCCCATCTAGATAGGGTTTGTGACCCATACGCAGCCTCCAGGAGCGCTCTGTACCAGACAAACCACAGCAATGTAAAAGCCCTACAAGTAAGAGCCAGGCACTAGGATCCACCTGAAGCCTCTGCCTCCATTAGGCAGCAGTTGTCATAGGTCTGGAAACAGGAGGAGTTATAGCCCTCCTTCTACTTCCAGAGTGATGAAAAACAGTCTCATTATTCATTTTTACTTCTAGGTTGTTTGTATGTTTATTTGTTTATTTTTCCTGCCAGTGCTTTGACCCCTGGAATGCCTTCTAGCAATTAATTCTGCAGGTTAATCATGCATTGCATGAAATAATTCAGCTTTTCTGCTTAAAGTGTGTTGCCATTTATTTTTATTAGTTGTCCTTTTGTTCTCATATAATGAGGCAGACAAAACAGGAACGCCTGACTGACTTTTTCAACATAATTCAGCTATTATACCTGGTAAGCTCATCAGAGGACATTAAAAAACACCGGATACACATTTGCAGGAAAAAATAACTTTGCTAACCTTGTAACCTTCCCTTTTGATTTCTAAATTTCCTGAATATATCAGATATTTTCAAAAAAGATGTAAAAATCTTGCATACTTTTGGTCAGATACTTTCACAACAAGCTCCTACCTGACAAGCGGTTGTAGCTGAACCACAAGTAAGTTTGGCTTAGATGTATTCACTTCCAGGTGAGAGACATCGAGATTTGTCATGTTTGTTAAATTCCAATCTCCCGACTCCTGAAGAAAGCTCAAAAGTTGCCTGGTAGCCTTGGAGTCAACAGCAGGCAAAACTAGAGATGAAGGAGAAGACTGAAGAATTTCCTGTAACAAATTTATGGACAGTTTATTTACATGGTTAATAATTAAACACAAACCAATTTTTTTCTACGTTCTGAATTTAATACACAAGGTGAGGAACCACCATGATAAACACTAAGCAAGATCTCAGCAGCCTGGTGCTGACTGCAGGCTGATCCTGGAAAGGGGCAGTGAACTGGCACCTGCATTGCTCTTATTCATGCACTTTTTTGGGGCAAGCTTAAGACACACAGTGATGTCAGTCCCTTCCATGTGTGTGTTGGAAGAGGAGAGGCAGCTGACACAGAAGATCGCAAGCCGAGAAAGGAGAAGGTGGAGAATGTATTGGAGAGTATGGGGGGAAAAGCTGAGGCAGGATACGGATGATATGATATGAAAGCTCATCAGATGACCATCAGATGGGATCTAAATGGCCTCGTAGGTAGAAAGGATCAGTGTCAGACACCTCAAGTTCCAGCAGCTGTATTTAGCACAGAGACATACTTTGCGTAACAAATTCCCTTCCTTTGTATACATCTTAATGGTATAGCACAGAGTACAGATAAGTGTCTAATTTTAACTATTATTTAAATAAATCTGCATTTTTAGGTTCTGCAGAAGAACTGTCACCATGGACAAACTTTAGAGCAAACTTTATGCTTTTCAGAGAGCTAGTTATCACAAGTCAAGCAAATGGGGCAAAATACTGGGTTAGCTGAACAGGGAACCCTGCCTGGAACTAGGGCAGAAATAAAAAAAAAAAAAATGTGACCTTTGGAAGCAAGGTCTGAATTCACAAGGAGCGTACAGAGCTACATTTCACATCTGCAGGGAGAAACCAAACCCCAACCTGATTTGACATTGGCCTCTGTGGTGTCAGACAACAAAAAAAGGCTTTTTCAAATATATTAACAGCAAGATGAAGTCAAAGGAAAACACTGGACTGATACTTGGAGTGGATAACAAGAAGGAAAAGGTGGAGGCATTTAATGCCTTTTTTGCTTCACTATTTAACAACGACTGATCTTAGGCTGCCCAGATCTCAGAGTTGGAGGACCATGCCTGGAGGAGCACTAACTTTCAATCTGAAATTGTAAAGGAACATCTGTATCAGCTGAATGTTTGTAAATTCATGGGGTGTGACAGGATTCACCTCAGAGTGCTGAAAGAATCAGTGAAGGTTACAGCTGGACCCCTCTCAACAATTTACCAGAGGTCCTGGGAGTCTGGGGTGGTCCCTGATGACTGGAAGCTAGCCAACGTTAAACCCATCTACAAAAAGAGCATGAGGGACACTACAGACCTGTTAGTCTAACCTCAGTCCCTGGAAAAGTTATGGAGAAGATTGTTCCAGGGGATATTGAAAGCCACTTAAAGAACAAAGCTATTATCAGGCATAGTCAGCTTGGGTTCACAAAGGGAAAGTCCTGCCTCAGTAATCTGACCTCCTCCTATAATAAGGCCACTCACCAGGTGCATGAAGGCAGCAGATGTAACCTTTTTGATTTTAGTAAAGTCTTTGACGCTGTCCCTCATGGTATTCTTCTAGACAAATTGTCGAGCTGTGAGATGAGCAGGTACATGCTCAGCTGGGTGAGGAACCGGCTGAATGGCACAGCTCACAGGGCCGTACTGAACGGGGCTGCATCTGGCTGGCAGCTGGTCACCAGCGGTGTTCCCCGGGGCTCTGTTTTAGGGCCAGGCCTGTTCAACACAGTCATCAGTGATCTGGATGCAGGAATTGAATGCACCCTCAGCAACTTTGCTGATGATGCTAAAGTGGGAGGTGACATAGGCTCCTTAGGGATTAGAGGCCTTGCAGAAGGATCTGGAGAGACACTGGCATTGGACAATCAGCAACGACATGAAGTTCAACAAAGGAAGATGCTGGGTTCTGCACCTGGGACAGAGTAATGTTGGACACAGGTACAGACTGGGAGATGAGTGGCTGGAGAGCAGCTCAACAAAAGGGGATCTGGGGGTGCTGGCCAACAGGAGACTCAGCATGAGCCGGCAGTGTGCCCTGGCAGCACAGAGGGCAAACCACATTTTGGGATGCGTTAAACAGAACATTGCCAGGTGGTCCCTGCATTGGTGAAGCCTCACCTTGAATACTGCATGCAGTTCTGGGCTCCACAATATAAAAAGGACGTTAAGGTCCTTGAAAGCATCCAGAGGAGGGCAACAAAGCTGGAAAAAGGGCTGGAAGACATGTCCTGTGAGGGGAGGCTGAGGACACCTGAGTTGTCTAGTTTGGAGAAGAGGAGGTTGAGAGGTGACCTCATTGCTCTGTACAGCTTCATGAGGAGGGGAAGCACAGGGAGGAGGTGCCAGTCTCTGATCCCTGGTAATCAATGACAGAATGTGTGGGAATGGCACAAAGCTGCACCAGGGGATGATCAGACTGGACATTAGGAAAAAAATATTTACTATGAAGGTGGTAAAACACTGGAACAGGTTTCCCAGTGAGGTGGGTGTTGCTCCATGCCTATCAGTGTTGGAGAGATATTTGAATAATGTCCTTTTTGTCAGCCCTGAGGAGGTCAGGCAGTAGATGACCTTTGAAGATCCCTCCCAGTCGCACTATTCTAAGCTTGTTCTTGGTGTGGAGACACACAAACTTCATATCATGTGCTATCATTCTTTCTATTCACAATGCAAATTATAAGGCTCAAGCTGAGCTAGTTCAGATAATCAAGCATCAGAGAGTGTATATATGATTTTACTTATACTTCCCATAGCTGAGTTTCTGGTGAAAATACTTGAGTGAAATGTATTTTAAACATTCTTGCTCTATAAATTTGAAGCCTGCAAAGCTGAAAAACATCTTTCCAAAGATTGTTCTGAATAATAAAATTCACTCGGAATATTCAGGGAAAGAAAATGCAAGATGTAGGCTTGAGAATGATCAAAATTAAGATACCCAAAATTTAATGTGAAGATTTGAAGATATATTTTCACTGAGTCCTAGTTTAAAACCTGTTAACTTCACTTCTGCATTTTCTACATTTAACTCCAGATCAAGTCTGTCACTTGATCCAACATTCAGATATTCAAGTTGTTATAGACTCTCTCCCTCTAACTGATGCGAGTGTTGTGCTGCTAACACTTTTCTCCTCCTACTCTTTTTTCTTTTTGTCTGCTCTCTGGCTGCCTGCCACTTTTCTGACCTCCCTTGGTTCTTTCTAAATGCTCACATGTTTTCCTTCCTAGACAAAGGTTAGTTATTTTCACATTTCTATAGATGCTCATATGGGAGGATTATGTAGTATTGTCTGATTTGCCAGACTGATAGACAAATAACTGCAGAAATTAAAATAGAGCAGAAAACACTGATCTGGTCTTTGAGTAGGGTGTTTAGCACCTCCTGGAAGGGAAGGATGATACATTCCCTTTTAGTTTCTTTTACATATACTAATATAGAGCTACAACCCTGAGCAGTAGTCAATTATTCCAGTTTATTTTTGATACTTTAATCCCTCGCCCCCTAGCTGCAGACAGAATGGCAGCAGCCAGTTCTTCCAAGGCTATGTATTAAGTAGATTACTCATTTATTGTAGAATAAAAAATAAAATGCATCATTACTGAGGAATGCTTGAATTGTCCCTCTGCTCCTAACCAGTCCTGCATTGCCATCTGTCTCAGCTTCCAGCCACTGGTATTCAGCTGTCTCTTCCATTCGAAGGGCACACACAGCTGGATACCTACTCATTAGCATCAGACAGACATTTTGGTCCCATGCCTCTCGTTTGTGCCTCCTGACATTTGGCCGCGGCACACTTGTTCTTAAAATACCCATATGTTGCTCCAGGCATTCTAGCATTTCAACTACAATGTGTTTTCAAAACAAGAGACCTCCAAAAGAGGGCAGAGGATGAAGAGAACTACTGAGAAACACCTGACTCTGCATTCTGCTAAAGGACTAAGCAAGGGGGTATAAACACACAGTATCTGAGAACAGGAAAGGGAAAAGAAAAAAAAAATCCTCCTATTGACCTGATGGACTGGTAACAGAAATTCCTACATTGACACGAGAATTTTTAGCACATCTAATGCTAAATTACTCTGATTAATTTGCTTTCTTTCTTTAATTCACTCACCTCTCCTGAGTGAAATATTGCAAGCAGGTCCATGATTTTATTACATATATTGCCACTGTACATTTTTGAAGGTAGGCATGAGATGACACCATCTACATGTCCAGCCATCCTGAAGCTAAGTAGCTGAATTATGATAAAGCTGTGCTTGGACTAACTTGCCCAGCTTTGGTTTCAGTACTGTCTTAACTGTGTTGCTATTACAGCTAAGCAATTTGAAGCTGGAATGGAGTACATCTAGGTCTATCATTAAAGACGTATCATTAAAATCTTTATTAAAGACTCACGTGCTCACCTATGAAGGATCATTTAGGCACACTCATTGTTCTTAACTAGTTTATGTTTGGCAGCATAACTGGCAAGCAGTCTTATAATACAAATATCTCTTGGGAAAAAAGAGTCCTCTGGAAACATCTGGGAACCTACACCTGAAGTGGGCAGGCTCTTGCATGGAGAAGAGATCTTTTACTTGTTAGTGTGTTGTTTAAAATACTGAAGTATTGTATTTATTTTCTACAGCACTGGTCAATGGTTCATCTATTAAAAAAAAAAGTCTATTCGAACTGATTTGAAGTTACATCTGTTTCTACAGACACGGATAGTTGCAAAGAACATTATTGTTGCATTTTAGCTTTGCCATTACTATTATCTTACAAATTTTTCAATTGTACCTGTGATCTCCAGGTGGATGCATATAATTTTAATGGAAATTGATTCGATGCACTTTAGCTAATAAAATGCATTTCGGCTACAGAAAGCATTGTTGAACAAACCTTCCAACCACTGTGTTGTTTGGTGGCAGACATGACACCAGGTTTTTCAAGGGTTACAGAGAGATCTGGGGAACTACAGACAAGCAAACCTGAAGTCCAAGAATGGGAGAAACAATTTTAAAGAATAAAGTACTGACTATAACAATATTGCAGGATTATACTGAGAAAAGGCTGACACAGCTTTTGCAAAAAGGAGTTGTGTGTCACAATTCTGCTGGATATCTCTGAAGGAGTCAATAGGCATGTATACCAGGGAGCTCCAGCTGTTACAGTGTACTTGGATTCACAAAAAGCACTTGGCATAATCTTGTAGCAAAGACTCCTAAAGAAATTAAGCTGCTTTTGTGTGGTCTTCACAATACTATGAGGTCTTCACGTGGATGATGCATAGGTAAAAAGGTAGCAAGCAAGGGCTAAAAAAAACACCTGTTACCAAAGCAGAGAAAGGTGAACCTCTGCATTAGGGTCTGTTCTGTCCAGTATGATCATAAAATGTCTGGCAATAAGGCACAGATACTGAGCTATTGAAATCTGCTGATTACACTGACTGATTTGAGGTAACGAAGGCAAGAGAACAGCAGGGGCAAATTTTGGGAAAGCTCCTTCAGCAACAAGACGAGATTTATTGTAAATTGATTTTAGAAGAGCACAGAGTGAGAAAAGAACAACACTAATTTTATGCACACAATAAGAGACTTGGAACTGAGTGTCACCCTTCACGAATGAAGCTTTAATATCAGTTCAGTGTCTGATGATGGTCAAAACTGGGAAAAAAGTATGTCTTTTTTTTAGTATTTTGGAAAAGACTATGGAACAGAACGAAAGAAATTGTTATGTCACTGAATAAATTATGTTGCACTTATATCTTGATTTGTATGCAATTCTGCATGGCCCCTTATCAAATACAAAAACACAATAAAACTCAAAGAGGTACAGAGAAGGGCAACAAAGGCAATCAAAATTATAGCAGCACCTCTGTGCTGCACGTGACTAAGCAGTGCTTCTCAGTCTAGAAAAATGACCACTGAGTGATGTTACAGTGGAGACACAGAACCACAAATGGCAATGACTTACAATAATAATTATGTAGCAGCACAGCTGGCAACTAATTGTTGCGTGCTACCATACATGGCAGTTCTAAGGAGCTGAGTAGTGTTTGGGGAAAGCCAAAGCCAATATTAAAGAAAAATAGTTCATAGGATAGGTGACTACTTGACAAAAAGAAGTTCCCCAAATGCTAATCTTTGTATTTTATTATTTAATTAAGAAGTTCTTTGAATGTTTAAGATAAATGATCTACATATAAGGTTTCTTTCTGTATTAACTGGAAATAGAATTCTTTTATTGCATACAAAACCACTGATCCCAAAAGCTCAGAACAGCTGCTAATGTAGCTGAACAAATCTAATATCTGCAAATGTCTCTGTGGTTTACAAGCCTACAACTCTTTTACAAATAACACTTTTCTTCTTGTAGTACACGTGCTGCTACATGCACATACACACTCTAAATGAGATCTCTGGTTTAAGTTTGTGAATAAATTTGCATTGCCAAAGTTCAAAGGAGGATACTCGAGTGGTATGGAACGGTTATAATGGCCTAATGAATCACTTGTATAATATAGATTGTGAAGGCATAAAACTTTGTGGTTATGCAATATGAAAGACCCTAATTTCCCCAGTGAGAAAATTCAGACCTGACCTTCTCATTGTCCTGTGTCTTTCATAGCATGATTAAGACAGAGATTTCTTTCCCAAAGTAAGTCAAGAGGAATACAACTGATGTGATAGCAACTGAGACAATTTTTGTAGCCTTTGTTGCACTCAGGATGGAGCTGGATGATTATGAAGATCCCTTCTGGCCCTAAAAGCTACGTGATGATGCACACACACATCATCAGAATTTTGCATTATGGGCATGTACGTGAAAAATAAATATTTAATTTATACATCTCGTTTTCTTTTTTCTAAGTTACAGCATCTCATCCACCACAAAACTACACTAGAAAAGATTGCCAAGTCCAACACAACAGATATAGGAAGTGCTGGAGTTAAGGTTACCAATTTGATTAAATAAACTCCAGTACTGAAGATGCTGTAATCAGAAAAAGTTTCTCTACTCTGAGACAGAAAGAAAACAGAGGCAAGGTCTGAAAGCAAGCAAACTGTTACTGACATTTCTTCAGTTTGTTGAAAAGCAGGGTTCAAAACTCTGCTCAGTCAGATACAGACCAAAGATTGATGTAAATGTCCCAAATCCACTCAATATTCCACCCAGTTTCTAAAACCATTAGTCCCTAGACTTAGCTTTGGATATAAACTCTACAGTGCTGATGCGGTCCCGACTAAAAGGCAAAAGAAGAGTTTAAAATACCAAATATCCTTCCTCTTAAACATCCAGGGCCTACATAAATAAGACCACAGAATCATTAGGAGCTTGCAGCAGTACCACGTATGTTCCAAACAGCTTATGAATTTTAAAATCAAAACAGCTTTGCAGTCCCATAAGCAGGAACACAATCTGCTCCAGACAACCTTGCATAGATTTTAAACCCAGAGAGGGTAAGGCATACCAGAGAAGTACCAATACATCTGACTGAGGATGCAGCCACTGATCCTTAATCTACAGATGAATATTACTGTCATTCATTCCTCAAAAAAAGCCACATACATACTTTGAATAGTTGTTTCTGTTCCTGCATCAGTGTTAAGATGTTGTTATATGGCAAAGATATGAAGGTTAGGGATACAAGGAAGATGTGAGGTTTTTAGACAAGAAAGATGTCTAAGACAGATAATACGTAAATATTTATGTGTAAGATGTCAAAGACAGGTAATATGTAAATATTTATGTATTTAATTATACATACAGCTTGCTACATAGTGGTTAGAAATTAACACTTCCTCACGTACTCTGTATCAGTTATGTTACTAATAGCTCTGTTCATCCTGCACTGCTCACAGGAATGCCTTAATGACTTCCACATGTGAACATTTTCCTTCTCTAATTACAGTTCAATAAATTGTCATGTAAGTATAACCAGAAATGCTGAGCACAAAATCTGTGAATCTCTTCAGTGAGAACAGAAGATAAAGTTCGTCACCATTTCAGGAGGACTCAGATTTTATGCCTGGAGTTTATTTTAGATTACTGAAGTAGCATGAAGATTAAAGCAATGCAGTATCTAGGCACAATATTCAAACATGACAAAATCAGCTGTCTAGATGGGTCAAGACAGCTTTACCTCATATAAAAATAAAATGAGCATTCAGTTCTGAAAATCTGCAGTAAAAAATTGATTCCTTACTTCTTTTCTTCCTATGACGTCCAAACACTACTTTGGGGTGTCAGTCTTAGAGTTTTTAATGCATGTATATATAGTTTTTTCATAATACAAAATTGCAACATGCTTAGGAACAATTTTGCCAGTTAAGATAATTCTGAAAAACTGATCTTCTGAAATAAAACAGTCACATAACACACTTCTGCAAACGGAGTTGTTTAACTGATACACTTATACTGAAATAATCTCTATAAATAATTTAAATTGGCAAACTGCTGCAATTCAGTTTAATTTTGCCAGTTATTGTCTGTTTGCATCTTTCTTACATCATTTTAATTAAAAAACCCAACACATATAAAGAAATAAAAGAGAGAAATGCTTGCCTGAACATTTTGAAATGGATTCTTGTTACCATAGGATTCACTGTAGTATGTGAAATCATCTATGCTAAGCTGAAAAACAAAGAGAGCAGATTGGTGAGAAGGAGCCATGTCCACACTTGCACTTTGTATTGGTAAGAGAAAAGGAATTAATGTTACATACCGTTTCTTGAAGGAACAAAACAAGATTTCTGGGACTGGGGCTAAAAACAGGTTGCAAGAGTACAGCCAGCTCCTGTGCTGAGACAATGTGTCCTTCATGCAAAGCAGGCTCTGGATTCCACTGGGATCTGCAAAGAAAATCATTTTTTTTAACATTATAATTGCTGACGATGATTACACCACTTCTTTCTCCAAATGTACAGAAGCAGTTAAAAACATCATCAACACTGGATTAAGTTCATGTTTACTGTTCAGGATAACTTTCATTCCATGTCACAGGAAAATAAGTTGTCCATGTCTGTATCATGCTAACTGGGTTACAGCAGGAATGGAATTGGTCCAGTCCAGGTAATTCTCTCTACTATTACTAGCTGTTCTTGTTTGTGTACAGCACCACAGCTGCATCTTTCCAAAAATTAACTACTACATATAATGAAGAATATACCGAAAACCTCCAGGGAGAATTCCCAAAGGTAATTCCAATTCCTGAAATAATTTCCAGTGTCATCAGGCACTTGGTGGCTAGAGAGCAGTACAAGTCAGGCTAGACCACAAGTTGTCATAAAACAACATTTTTTCATAAACCTTCTGTTAAGTTAAAGTGGCTTTCTGACGTTTTCATAAAAAATACATTCTCTCCTACAGCTTTTGTGTTGAAGCAACCTTTCTGCAGAATCAGCTCAGAAAATTGCCTATCTAGGAGCAGGAGCTCTTCTGAACAGAATGGCAAAAGACACCAAGAAAAGCTTATGACTTCGTTTGCTAACTTGTCCTTAGGAGGACTGGACAGAGAAATAACTTGGCCATTTAGTTTTGTTACTACTAAGAATAGTTCTGAGTAAAATTGTTGGCATTATTCATTCAATGCCTGACTGGGATTTTAACAGTATGCAACATGTTTATAGGGATGAAATTTATTATGAAAATTTTGGTCCTGGGCAACTTGACTAAGGCAGTATTCCCATCCTATTTAAAACCCAGAGCTTGAAGCTTAAGCTCCTCTTTTCCACAAACATCCATTGGTTGCTAAGGCCTGAGAAACCAGGTACTCAGTCCCTCTGAATGGTGCTAACTATAAAGAACAGAATGTGGAGGATTACTGTGTGCTTTCGCATCTGTAATTATACGGTTGCAATTTGGTGAAGTTGAGATTGTAGAAACACAGAATAGCCTGAGTTGGAAGGGACCCATGAAGATCATTGAGTCCAACTCCTGGCTCCACACAGGACCACCTGTGTCTGAGAGCACTGTCCAAACGTTTCTCAAACTCCAGCAGCTTGGTGCCATGACCACTGCCCTGGGGAGCCTGTCCCAGTGCCTGACCACCCTCTGGGTGCAGAACCTTTCCCTAACCCCCAGCCTGACCCTCCCCTGTCCCAGCTCCATGCCGTTCCCTTGGGTCCTGTCGCTGTCCCCAGAGAGCAGAGCTCAGCGCCTGCCCCTCCGCTCCCCTCGTGAGGGAGCTGCAGGCTGCCATGAGGCCTCCCCTCAGCCTGCTCTGCTCTGGGCTGAGCAAACCAAGGGACCTCAGCTTCTCCTCATACGTCTTGCCCATACATTTTACAGCAACCTGGTATTTGTTTCCAAGTGTCTTTCCTTGTCCCAGACAGAACAGAAATGAATATTGAAGTATTTTTCAAAATCACACAGGCTTTTGATACATATATATATGCATTTATATATGCTTTAGTATAGCTCTTGATATATTGAATAGAATCAATCAGATGAAACTAATCAAACAAACAAACAAACAAACAAAAAAAAAACAACTCAGAAATGACTTCCCCAACAAGTTTTTATGACTTAAAACAATCTTTGCAGTCTCTTGAGGTGGAAGCAGAACAGGGGCGATAGATGCACAGAGGGGGGTCGGTACTGTTTTTGACAGGGGAAACCCATATTTCACTTCAAGACTCACCAGTAATTCCAATGAAGGCTGCAGAGAGTGAATCAAAAGCCTCTAACTGCACACAAAGAAGAGATAAAAACAGTGCAGTTGTTCAGCAGTGGATACCTAGTTCTCTTCAGATTTGAGGGTTTGGGAGTGTACTAGAGCAAACAGCAAATGTGGGGACTCATTCAGGACAAGGTGCTGCAGATGTTAAATTCATTTCTTGTAAGTCTTTAGGCTGTTTCTTTTCAAGCTTTAGAGGTAAACCTTGCTGTGCAGGAAGGAATTATTTTTTCTGATTTGACAAATTATCATTTGATGTTTTCTGAGTTTTTCTCGGCACCTCCACTTTATTCATTTGTGTTTGACAGCCCACATTAATTAGTATTTCTGAAGACCATCAGCTTAAAGATTCAAATAGACATGCCTCAACTTTTCAGAAAAGTTGGCCTCATGATTTCAAAGATTTAAATATAATCTTCAAGATAAGGCATTCTGAATTCACTAACTTTCATACTGACTTTATGGATTGCATGGGTACACTAAAGTACTAATGGTATTAAAGGACAAGAAGATAGAATCAATTAAGAGATGTTAAAGGGCGGTTTGTATGAAGTGAAATAATAGTGAATACCTTGCTACATTTATTTTTGCAAATCAGATAATTGGTAATATCAATTTCATGCCTAGTATTAGAAAAAAATGAAGATTTTGAGAACTCTTTGGACTTGCAATTAAGAATAAAAAGTAAAAGCACATGAAACAAAACCATTTTATTTGCAGCAGTACAATGGCAAATGCTTTTGTCATGAACTCAGAAAACTCAGAAATGTAATGATCCTATTTTAAAGCACTCTTGCTTCTGAGTTATTCCTTGTTTCTCAAAGCAGCTCTTGCTATCTAACCTGAAAAAGCACCTTTTGTGAGACCTTTTTGCTTTCAAGCAGTCAACTTCATTAACTCCAGCATCATCATTAGAAAAATGTCTCCATCAGCTAGTCAATAATTCTGTTATAATGCAGTGTTTGCCTAATACTCCTATTTCCCATATTATATGTGTTTTGCTTCTCTTAGATAGTTTGCCAAGTACCATGAATGGCAGTGTGCGAGGCTTCACTTCATAGGCCAGTGACCTGGGTGCAACAAAAATTCTCACTGTGATTCAGATGGGAAATGCCAGTATGTTTTGTTAGCTGCTTTAAATGAACTGCTGAAGGAAATGGGGATATGTGTCTGCATGGTGGATAAGCCAAGGGTGTGCGTTACTGAACATAATGAACCCATCCATTCCTCTGAACTCCTCACCTCAAGCAGGCAGCAACGGGTCAGTACGGGACGGCACAGGATGAAACAGGCAGCAGGCCAACACATGTATCGATTGCTACGCCTGATTGCACACATGAAATTTGATGTCCAAAGATGCACAGCCATGTGAAGTCATCTGCATGCCAAGCAGGCTTAGCACCCTCACAGCAGAACCATCATCCTCAGCCACGGGGGCTCCCTATGACAAGGATCTCTGCTAACATTTGTGCTTTTCCCTCTGCCTAGGAATTAGGAAGCTCGAAGCTCAGCTGCTCTCTTTTTCCTTCAACAGCCAAAAAAATGCAGTAAGGAAAGGAAGGATAGCTAAGCTTGGGGAGGATTTTTTTTTTCTTCTTTCTTGCCCTTTAGTGCTGTGGCAGACAGGAAGTCCAAGCATACAGATTATTGCAGAGCTGGGATACATTCTCTGATCTGTGTTCTTCCTAGGCAGAAGGAAGACTTGAGCACTTATTTTTGATGGGAGCAAAGATTTCAAGATTGCTTGTATCTGGACCTTCAAGAGGACAGATGGTAAGATAATAGGACTTCATTGCTCTAACCTGTGAGTCTATGTACTTGCTTTGTAGCTGGCTTCTGAACTCTTGCCTACCAGTTCTTGTCAGTTGTCTCTTTCAGATGCCACATGATTACCACATAAAAAATAAATTTTTCCCCTGCACAGAAGGGCTAAGCAAGCTTTTGGAAACGATCTTTAAATATCACTTCTACACAAAAAGCTCATGTCACCATTTCTAGTAGCACCAGTAGAATGAAAACTGGTGCCTGTAGATAAAAAAAAAGAAAAAAAATCAAAAAGCTCCTCAAGCATGCTAGCACAGAGTATCTCCATACAAGCCCAGTAAACTTATGGCAAAAAGTGGATGGCCAAAGGATTCTGATTCCACTGTATCCTTTTTATGCTATATCTCCTTGCAGGACATTTTTCAGTGAAGTCCTTTCAGCTTTAGGAAACACCCCAAATGGCATTAAAGGCCTCAAAACCACTTATAATCTGGATTTTCCAGAAAAGGTTTCATCTCCCAAAATAAGCATAGCATAAATGAAAAGTAGCAATAAATTCTCAATAACTACAAGCAAAAGTCATCCTAAAACAGACACATGAAGGGCAATCACAAAAGCTAATTTTAATTAATTTATTTCCTCAGGCTCCCTCTCTAATCTGTAGAGAGAAAGAAATTTCTTTTGAATATTTTTCCGAAATGGCTAAATCATGTTTCCGGTCTGAATCACATGCTAGAGGAACCTCTCTGTCTCTCTTGGTTTGGAAAGTAACAATATTAACAGTATTAGCTTAATGTCTGATTTAAGATAAAGGCTGTTTTTTTCCAGGGCGAAGTCACTTTGGAGAACATCTACTGATCTGTTAGTATTCCTTTGTGAAAAGCAGGACACTGTGACCTACCGTCTTTTTCCCACTTCATCTTTCTTCTGAGTGCAATAAAGAAAGATTGTTGTTTGGTGAAAAAACACTCCTATTTCTCAAAGTACAGATCTGCATTTTTTCTTCTCGAGGGAAGAGGTATTTGATTTGTAAACGTCCCTGTTTACAGCCACTTCCTTTATGCTCTGCACACTGTGCATGTCTCTCAGTTGCAGGCTTCCTCTACATCTAACATTAGCTTGAACGGTATGATTACAGTACAATAATGCATAAAAGAAGAGTTTTTAAACTTCTAATACAGCTCTTCTGAGATCCTGCCTTACAAACACTGACTAATTCTAAAGAGTAGCAAAATTTATTAGAGCTCAGCAGTTCAGTATTGTGTCCTGATAGTTAACCCAGGAGAGGGCGATGGAAGAGATGGGTGAATCTCAACTCCTGTTGGTCAGTGAGTGAAGCCAAAGGGTTAAATTGGTGAGACACATTTCCACAAAGTGAGCAGAAATCCTTTGATAATTACTGTACTTCTTCAGTTACCCTTCTTAAAATTCATAGTAATAGTTCCCTGATTTCAATAAGTCTGTAGGCCACACACCGAAAGCCTTACATCACTGCAAAGTACCAAGATATAAAGCACAGAATAGTTATGCAAACAGAAGTTCCTGTTCCTCTTTATTTTATAAAATAACACAAATCTCCTTTACACTAGCTTCACAGGCTTTCACAAGACACAAGAACTAATTTGTCACTCATAAAAACTTCCCCTTTTAAAAATGCAGAGGTCACGATAGGAGGAACACTTCTTCTGTTCATGGAAACATGAAACCAGTTTCATCAGTCCACCATCCTGATTTTCTTGCTCTAGATTTGTTCAGACCTGAACTATCTGCACTAGGGCAAGCTGCTAATTGCATCTTGGTGGAAAGTTTGTTTTATGACCACCCTGAATTAACCGATAAGACTTTGCTTATATTGACAACATGTGTAATATTTATATAAACTAGGATCTAGGACAAAGGAAGCTACCAATCCTTTCTTAGACTCTTGAGATCACTTTTATCCTAACAACTCTCTCCAACATTTACTTTGCTTTTAAATATAGAAATTTAGCACTTATTCTTGTGCCTGGTTTATAAAAGCGATCAGCTTAAGTATTTTGAATACCAAAAACCTTGATATTGAGATATCTGCTTATATCTGTTGGGGGGTGGGGAGATGGGAGGGATAGGTGGAGGGTGTCAAAGTTACCTAATCAAACTTTATCAAAATGGTAACATTTTCAGACTGCTGTATGCTAGGGCTGCCCAGGGGCCAGAGGTTCAGTTTCTGGAAATGCTTAAGAGATGGGAAGACATACGTCAAAGTTGTTATTAATTACTGCAGAGAAAATAATACAATGCCCAGGATACATATGAAACAAACACAGTAAACACCTCCTACATGTATGTTTTCAAATGTAGTTTTTCCATGGATCTCAACATTAAAGCATGACATATGAAAAAACAAATAAAAAGCATCATGCTCGTCTATATGACACCATACACTGTTCTTCAGGAAAACCTTTTCTGTGTAACTCCTGACAATCATAAAATTTCTGAATCCTCCTATTGCTGAATTAAAATCATTGCATTAAGAAGCAACTAAAAAAATAAAAAGAAGCAAACAAACAAAAACAACAACACAAATGGATTTAGCTCTCAGACTTAAAGCTTAATAATCTTGCCTATAGACAAGAGATTTCCACTGGCATAACCAAGAGCAGCGCTTAGTCTGTCTTCCCAGTGACAGCTAGATAGTTCATCATGCCTCAAACACATTGAATGGCTCAAAGTCTCACGAAAGGTAAAGTGAATTCAGCCCAACCAGCTGAAAGGATAATTATCTCCAAGAAACCACTGGCTGGATTCCCTTTTTCCTTTACAGAAGGGTACAATTGTAAGCAGCACTCTGGGAATTAAGAGGGCGATGGAGGTGCAAAGGCAGCAAGTCCCACAAATCCCGATGGGATGGTTGCTGATGGCCACAGCAGCACAACGTGCCCTGCGTGGCCGTGCCCACCAGCAGCCCCCACCACCGTGTCCCTCCTGTTCCCTCCCGGAGCAGACAGCTTCCACTCAAGGCCAGCCACAGGGCAAGAGAGCTCTTCCTGGAGACAGCTGTCTGGAGAGTGACACATTCAGCTGCTGTTTGTGATGGTTTGTATTAGGGAAATTAATTAATACCCAGCTGAGATGAGGCATCCTCTTGAACTAGGTGTAACGCATACGCTCTTGCAGAGGACAGGAGACGAACTCTCCGCTAGATTTGCTGTCTATTATTTCTAACTGCTGATGCCTACACACAAAGCAAATGTTAGTAAAATAATATTAAGTGTTATTAAAAATAAATAAATAAAAATAATAATAAAAGCAGCTTAGAAGTGGAAAATCAGCATCTGGGAGTTAGGAGCTGCGCAGATTAAACTTGGCCACGCAGTTTTTGGTCAGCTCCTTTTTGGGAGGCTGCCTTACGGCGTGCCTTTAAGCCAGGAAAGCTCTGTTGGAGGACATCAAGGTTGCCTCTGGGTGCACAAATCCTACCCCCTTCGAGTGTGAGGAATTAAACCCGCTCGCCTTAGCACCCCAGAACCGCAAACAAAACCGTGTAGCTTCACCTGTTGGCTCGCTCACCCACCCGCAAGTTTACGTACGGCGCAAATTTACCACCCGGTAAGGCAAATTTCCCCCTCGCCAGGCCCGGCTTGGTAGGAAACCCACTCGCAGCCCCGCTGGGAGCAGCGGGGCGGGCACCGGTGCCTGCTGGAGCTCTCCTACCTCGCGGTCGACCAGAGCAGCGCGGGTACGGGGCCCCCCGCCAGCGCCGGGCGGGCGGGCAGCAGCAGCGAGCCCAGCAGCAGCAAGGGGCCCGGCGGCAGCGGGGAGCCGGGCGTTAGGGGGGTCCCCGTCCCCAGCAGGGTGCCCAGCAGCAGCAGGGGGGCAGCCGGGCAGAGCCGTGCCATGCCTCCGGCGCAGCCCAGGCGGAACTGCGGCGGGCTGGGCGCGCACCCAGGCCCCGCTGCACTTCCTGCTCCGCCGGGCTGCCCCGGCCTGGCGGCGGCCGCAGGGCGCTTATCGGCACAGCGCCGGCCTCCTCGGCTCGGGGCTGGGGCTCGTAAAGGGTTTTAATAAGCCTCCGTCTCGTAAAAACTCTCCGCTGTGTAAGCGGGGAGAGATTCCTCACACGCTCCTGTGGCACCGAGCCCCCGGGGCAAAGCCCCTCACACCACTGTAACGCTGACAGGAGGGCGCTTTCTGCCACAGCGCCGGGAGCGTGGGGTCGCGCCGCCACCCGTGGTGGGGTACCTCGGCATCACTTGTTGCATACTCGTGTGTTTGGTTCAGACTCACTACGCATATTCATTGCTTCCCCCCGAACTGTTTACATCGGCTCTGCCCAGCTGGGCGTGCTTCCCAGCCCGCGGTGAGGCTCTCTGGGGGTCTCTGAAGAGCCCCGGTGGTCGCAGGCGAGTGTTTGCTGCCTGCTCCTGCCCCTGTCCCCGTCCCTGTCCCTGTCCCCGTCCCTGTCCCCGTCCCTGTCCCTGTCCCTGTCCCATGGAGGCATGCGCAGCTCCTCTCTTCTCCCTGTTCTCCCTCGTGCTGTTTCAGCAGATCAGGCTGAAGCAGCAGCCTGCTTCGTGCAGGCAGCTCCAGCTGCTCCCATGCAAAGTTTCTGTTATCGTGCACTCAGGCAAGTGCTCCGAAGCTAAGCAGGCATCGTGCAGTTGTTCAGCTTTTGAGCTCAAATCTACAGTTCGGGATGCAGAGCCTGTCAGTGGTAACACCAACACGGGGGAGACTCGCAGCATCCAGCTCCTGACATGCTGTGTCCTAGCTCCTTGGTAGCTGCAGGCTGATAACAGCATTGCTCGGCTTCCAAGCCAAGTTTATCGAAAAGTTTTCCATGCTGAGCAAAATGTATGCTGCAGAACTTCTGTCTCCTCCCCCTGCTATATATTACTGTGTCCCTCAGCTTAGCTCTTTCACATGTGTTGAGAACTGGTGTCACACATTTGGGTGTTGACAGGTTTGAAGGCTGCAGTAAATCTCCCCATCGCGGATTCCAGCGAGAAGGAAGAGAGTGAGAAAACGGTACGCTTGGAGTGCATCCACCGAGACATGGAGTTGTTCAGCTATCTTTTGCAAGGAGCAATGCTCTCCCCAAAAAATCAAAAATCTCAGAAGTCGGGAGCAAATTAGAACCGCTTCAGAACCTGACTTCAGTATTTCACAAATCTCATGCAAGATCAAAATAGTCATAGAGCGATTCTTCACGCTGGGGAGCAAATTTCTTTGCAATCCCTTTTCATCCCTGCCAAGTGCTGAGTTGTTTCTGTGTCATCTGACTACATCAGGCAGCAGCAGTCATTTAGCACATGTTGAGCACAGGGCATGGACGCCTCTTCGCAACCAGGAGGAGATATTAAGGACATTACACAAAAGAAATTGTTAGCTATGCTAAAACAAGTTGTGACAGGGGAAAAATAAGGAAGCACAACGCAAATTATAAGGCAGATATAAACAGAAGTCAGAAGGCATGCACGTCTGAATCAGAGCACACATAGCTTGACTCATGAAGTCCGTTTGCCTTAATTCAGTATATTGTGCCAGCACTGTTGACTAATATGGGACAATTTGTTCATCATTTCAATCTCAAATCAGATTCCAGATACCAAAATAATATTTCTGAGGAAAGTAATAAAGCCAATCCCCCACGTGCTCCTTTTCTTCTCCATGTTACCTTCGCATAACACTGAAGTTAACCCTTTTATTGCACTTTCCCCTCCTCATGGATATTTCATAAATCCTTCATCTCCCTTTTCACAGGCCACTGTTTGTCTGTTTAAGGGAACAGACAGGTAAGAACAGTCCAGAGCAGAAAGGACAGGAGTAGAACTGAAACACCCTAGAGAGAATTTAGGATGAGTTGGAATAATTCAGTCAACAGAAGCAAAATACTTTGTAATTCTGGAATTGTTTGGCCTTGCCATGGTGTCTTTCAGACCTGGTTTCTCACCTAACTGTCCGGAATGGTACAGAGTTTTGTGTGCATCTCCAGCCCACAAAGCCAATGGACTGCAGCTCCTCCTGTCTGCTTCTTACAGTTATTCTTCATGTAAGAAATGAAGAACTGAATGTCAGCATTACATAAAGCAAGAGTGCACAGTGTGGTTGCCCACAGAATACTAAAGGAATCAGAATTTGCAGCAAAATTGTCAATTTTACAAAACCTGCTGGATTTGCATTGCAGTTGGCAGTCTCGAGAAATAGTGTGTTACTGCCTCTACACCTGCTTTTACTCCACTAAGCCCATGCCTTCTGCAGCTGGTTCCTTTTATTCTCCAGCTCACGCAATGAAGAGATCCTTGCTTTGAGAAACAGAGCAATAAAGCAGCGTATCTTCCTATTCTTTCAACTAAGAGCAGGTTCTATGGGCTCCCCTCCATTGCTAACACAGTAGATAAATACAACCAATGCTGCCAGGACTTTCATATCTGAATAAGCCCTCAATGGTCTGACCTGAATGTGTGGAAATCAAGGCCCACAGATACACAGACAAATAATGCACTGTACCCTGATAGAAATATCACCACAAGGGCAAATGATTCATTAGCAAGTAAGTGAAGATTCCATACCCTTTTTTTTTTTTTTTTTTTTTTTTTTTTTTTTTTTGACTAATGCGTTTCCACAGGGCTAAAGCATTTACACCATTTAAAAAATTCCACTGCTGCCATGTGAACATCTTTTGCAAGTCCACACTCAACTGCTGACACCATGAATGAAGAGCCTAACTCATGTAAGAGATTCCTGGCTTCTTGTTTCTGAAGTGGTTGATGTACAGTAGACTAATGAAAACAAAAGAGAAGCTAAAACAGGGGAGAGAATTCTAAAATACAGGTATATAGTCCCTGTCTCTTTCTGGCTGGTAATATCTTAAAAAAAACTGATCAACCCTTGGTTTGAGTTGGATCTTTCACAGGGGATTTGCACACTCAAGCCAAATCACACACAAGGGAAATGAAGCACAGCTGGCAGATGTACTCTCCATATTCTGCCTTACAGAAGCTACCTTAAAACTTTTTGAAACAAAAGCAGATTGTTTTCTCTCGGATCGCTGTATTACTTAGGATCAAACTTTTAACTGAAAACAAACCGAATTTTCCTTTTTAATATTTCTCCACAGCCCACAGGTTGGGAATGACTGAAGTGAAGAAAGCTCTAAAAAAGGGAATGAGAAGAACCCATTGACTGGGATTTTAATTTGCCTCCCCCAGAAAATTTGGCTCGCGAATGCATCTGCATATATTTGCTCCTTTCTCTCTTTTTTCCTCACTTCTAAAAATAAAGATTTCTTGCCAAACCATACGAAAGAAATTTAGCTACTGCAAAGAGAGGTTTTTCAAAAGATTCGTTTCTCTGAATTAATTAAAATGAGATGAGATGGGGTTGCAGAAGTTCTTTCATTTGTGAGCAGGAACCTAAGCAGTAATACAGACTGACGCCTTTCAGCGTACACAACAGCACACCCAGTTTACTCATGCATTTTCCACAGAGGCTTCTCCTTGTAAACTCATAGGTTAAGTCCAGGCTTAGAACTGCTTGTACGTGAAGACTTTAAAATCCAGCAGAAGTTCAAAATCCTGGAACCCAGACAACTGTGAAACTACTATGAAACTGCAATGAAGGAACACCTCCACCACTATGTATCTCCACTTAACTAAGATGATTTCATTATGAGAGGCTGTAGTATTGACATACCTTGTGCTTGCCTCTTACTCCTACCCATTTCTCTGGATTTATACAAGCTTTCTTTTACAATTGTATTCATATCACATATCCCACATATTTCTCATCCTGTCAGAGTTGAAATACAGAACTCAAAAAATAATGGGGAGAAAAGAACAAAATGATGTTTAATTTCTTTTTCTTGTGAAATATTTTTTTAAAGAAAAAAAATAATCCTCTCAACTTTATAATTCTACAAAAAGAAGTGTGAATGCCAGATTTGTGTGGGATGAAGGTAAATTTAGGACTGTAAGTCAGGCTAAAAGGGATCACTCTTGTAACAAGGACAATTTATAGTGCAAGATAAGCTAAAAGATTATCTATAGACCAGTGACAAAAATAAGTGCCAGCCATTTTCTTTGCAAATATGATTCCTCAGCCATAGTTTCGGGAGCTAACATGGTACTACAGCAGCATCTTAAAAAATCTTTTCCTCTAGCTCAGATAATAGACATATTCAAATTTAGGTTCTTTAAAAAAAAAAAAAAGCCAAGATTTGGATGATAGCTTTATATAGATGTATATACATATACATTATCATTAATATTACTGCCTATTGGAAAAGTATTTTCCGTATGCTAAATATTGATTAGCAACTACTTTGCTACCCTCACATATGTAATTTATAATCCTGTTTTTATCACTGTTTACAATCCCATTATGATACAAGAAAGGAATTAATGCTTTGTTAATTTTGACATCTTTTGGGGTCAAGGAGGTAGAAAGAGTGGTTGCTTCGAGTTCCTCTTCCTATGAGACATAAAGGCAGAAATTTACATCTTGGAAAAACATAATTTGTAATCTACATAAACACGTGAAACAAAGAAAATGTTAAAGAAAAATTAAAAAATTTTTCCTTTTCAAAGCAAAACACATTTCTATATGTTATATAATGGTAAAAATCATTCTTCGTTTTTAAATTCAGAAACAGTGGAGAAATAATGTGTAAGATGATCAAAATACCAATTGAAGAAAACTAACAGGAAATAGTGTATGGTAATTTCAATCATGTTACACTAAAAAAAAAAAATCACCCTAGTTTTGAATTATGTCGGCTATACTTGGCCAAATGTTTTTTCTTTTTTTTTTCTTTTTTGAACAGTTTCCTTTCAATATGTCATATTCTCCAAAACACTCAATTCCTATGCTATCAGAGGCCATTTTTGGACACTGGTTAGAAGGAAGACACGAGGTCTCACTTTATATACAGGCAGCTATTTGTTTTTTTCCCATGAAAGTTCAAAATCACAGACAGCCATGCACCAGACAATACTCAAGTGGACTTTGGCATAAACCAAAAAATTTCTGTGGGTGAGCAATTCTGTAGCAGGCCAAACAACTTGTTTGTGAATGCTCAACTGAACATAGAATCTAGAACTCTTCAAGCATAAATCCATAATTCTGCATCCAGTTTCAAGCCCCAAATTAAGAAAGGCTTTGGTAAATGGGAGCAAGTTCAACAGCATTCCACCAAGAAGCTCAGGAGGCAGAAGCGCTTGATGTGAGGACAGGCTGGTCTTGTTCAGCCTGAAGGAAAGAAGGCTTGGGGAAGTCCTGATAGCAGCTTTCCAAAATGTATAAAGAGATTATCAAGATTAAGTCAGGCATGCATAGTAAGAGGATGAGAGACAACAGACTTAAGTGAAATAAAGCAGCTTTCAACTGGATATGAGAATAAGCTTTTTTTTTCAGGTGAGGAAAGTAAGGCACTGGAACAAATTGCTGGTAGAGGTGATGTATTCTATATCTGTGAAGGTTTTCAAGATGTGTATGGATAAAGCCCTAAGCAATTCAGTCTGACCTCATATCTGCGTGGGCTTGGAGCAGGAGCTGGATTCCTGAGATCCCTTCAAACCTGATTATTTTATGATTCTGTAAATTCCCAAAATCTCCAACACCACATGGCATTGATATCAAAGGACTTGTGGCTTCTCACATTTGTTCAAACTATTTCCTTATTGTTTACTGAAACCACCTTTCAGGGCTTGTAATGTACATTTTAAACAAACATTTAAAAAGAAATTATTGTATAAAGAAGTTGGCTACTGTCTATATGATGCATGCTTTTCATTTTGCCCTTCAATCCACAATTTTCTTCAAAAATCCTTTTATCACTCAGGCAGAGGCCCAGTCTTAGCAGCCATTCTTATCTTAAGGCTCAAGCCCTGGCAAGTACATAAATCAATGGTAATGCTCATGTGCTACTAGTTCATATACTGAACTAAAACCCAGAATCTGAAATTAATGGCAAAACCAGTGGAAAGACTTCCATTGATGTTAGAATGCACCACGTCAGTCGAGTCTACAAGTTTGTGTTCTGTTGAAGGAATCAACCTTGTTACCAGCTGTTTGGTTCTAAATATATGCTTATCTCTATTTTTAAATGCTACTGCTTTTACTAGACAGTTTTATATGTCAGAGCAAAGGGCTTTGCCCTTGGTGAAAGACATGTCTAGAATAGAGGTTTAAAGCAGTCGACAGAAGCTAGCAACTTTCTGTAGGACTTTATTGAATGGACACCATCAAACATTTTTCTCTGTAATTATAATCAAACATAACCGTAACTCTGTAAGTTTAGGGAAGCAATTAACTTCTACTGTACATAAGAGAAGTTCCTCAAAAAATAAACGTTCTGAACAGTCTGCATTGTGTATTTTCAAATTTTCAACCTGATTCACAATAATTTCATGATCTTGGATACAACAATTGTATGCTGGCAGTTCCATTATGACCAATAAGATGAGCCATAAAAAATGAAGTTACTGTTTTACACCAATGTTTCCAAGTCAGAGCAGCTATATTTGGAAGGGCATATCAATTTTGTTGTTCTGTAGGAATGTACAGTTTGAGGGGTTCTCTGCCTTATATGCTTAATGCCAGAAAAATACATTTAATATATTAATATAAAATTAAATAATTTATTTTTACTTTTCTAAGTGGAAGATAACAGAGTTAGCTAAATTTCCTCAAAAACAATATTACACAGAAACAAATATTCCAGGCAACACAGGCATGCACAGTAAAGCAGTCAAAGCTCACAAATGTATATAGCTCATCAACAATATTTTTTAAATAACGAGGTTACAAACCATGAAATATAGTTATATTGAATAATCAAGATCAAATTATTTTACAGGCAGAAGTTTATTTTGATGTTATACAATTAAGATATTGGTAAAAAAAATCTTCAAAATCAAGTAAATTGTATTAATCAATAGTTCAGTTACTTTCTTTAACTTCAGTTAACTTCGCTAAGAGTTATGTTTTTGTACTGGTAGGAATAGGCGTAGCTATTAAAAATTATCTTGCATTAGTCTGCTTGTTACTCCTAGGCAAAAATGATGCAATCGCTGGGATCTGAGCAAAGTACTTTTTCGCCCGGATATGTTTTTGTTTTATTCTGTGAATAAATGCTGCTTCATAAGCCTGAAAGAAAATCCAAATGCCATTAAATACAATGAAAATATTCATCAATCCACAGATTACTTTCTATTTTAGACAGTATAAATAGTGACCCTTCAATGGACTAAGCCATATGATTTATTCATATACATTACAGAAGGAAATAAAACATTTTGTAGTTCTATACTGCTACCTTATGGTCCAACAGTGAAAATCACTAACCACTCCTTGTGAAATGTCATCTTTCAAAAACAGGAACACTTCTGGCATTTTTTATCCAAGATAAAATTCATTCATTTATTTTCAAGTAAGAAAAGTTGTATCTATCTTTTAAAAATTAAAAATGACAATGGCTAAATATCATCGTTTGCAAATTGATAAATACAGGAAATTTCCTTACTAAGAATCAGAGTGATTAGTTACATATAATCACTGCAGAAAGCATTTTTCAGTGTTTGAGTCAGCAGTGATAACATCTTCACAATTTCTAGTGATTAGTACTATCTCAGATGATGCTGTAAATAAGCATAATATTTAGTTGGGAAAAAAAAACAGGCAGCTTTGCTATCTCTAGATAGCTTAAGAGGCTTTTTTTTTTTTTTTCTTTTTTAAATGAATGAGATCCAACTTACAGCATTTTAACTTTGCCTCATTTTCTCTTATTTCACAATTACTTTTTGAAGCAGAGCTTTGGCCATCACCAGTGAAGAAAGGCAATTCCTTGCTGGCCTGTTTCAATTTTTGTAGCAAGAGTTAACTACAAATACCATACAATTTTAAGGTAGGCTTGCGTATCTTATCTGTTGCTTTTCAGAGCTTTCTCCCACCTCCACTGAAGCAGGAGATGCAGAGGAACCTTCTATAGCCCTCTGCCAATCATACAGTTGTTCTCCAACTTTGAATGAAGGCATTTGGAATAGGAAAAGTAATGGTTCTTCTCAAGGGTATATAAAGAGCGTATACCAGCTTAGAACACATTTAATAAAAAGCGCATGAAATTCAAGACTTTTACTTGTCTTCACAGATGAAGTTTGTTTACTTTCAGCTTTTCATTGTACTTGAATAATATAAAAAAGCTGAAAAAATTCACTCTGTACTCTAATGTAGTTTAAATTTCATTACTTGGGCTGAATCCAATGACAGAGAAAGTTTAAATCCAAACAGAAAAAGGTTTTATTGCAGTTACATTAAAGTAATGAAATATTTTTACTACATTTTATCATTCATATTAAAAACACAAGTGTAACCTGTGGACCTAACCAAGTTAATGGCATTTCTGACTATGACATCCAGACTTAAGAAGTTAAACCAGGTAAATGCGTAATCAGAACCTCTGCCTGCTATAAAGCCAGTAACATAGATTCATGGATGCATTGTTAGACTCAGACTGCCTGAAGAGTCTTACTGACTGGAAGTGAGATAGAGGAGTTGATAAAGGAATTTCCAGCTTGAAACTGATTTTAACTTTTGAAGGTAATGCTCATATAAACACAGCTGCTTGAAAACACAAGTTAGGCATGCACAGACAAAAATATAGATAGCTGAATTCCCTTTATCTTTAGAATGCCCTAACACATTTTGTTCCCAAAGCAAAACTTCCACTGAGTAATTCTTTTCCTCTGTGAATTTTGTTCTCAGATACTCTCAAGACTTCCATAATGACTAACATCAGAAGCTGCATTTGTGTTGCATACATACTGTGTTAGAAATTGAATTAAGTACATCCTGAATAAAAGAATGCTATACAACAATGGCCTTGGATCACTACTTATATAAATCAGAAACCTACAGGAGAGAGGCTTAATAATCCATTACTAATCACAAGACAAACACAGTCCCCAGGATTCTATTGTGCCACAGAAAACTGAATACTCTACCATATGATGTCCAGTGGAGTGAGTTATTTACCAGGCACTATGTTCAGATATGGGATTTGGGGGTAGTGATATAAAAATACACAGTTTCAATTACTTCTGTACCAATTCTTAAGTTTTCCCAACTCAGAGCTGCCATTACATTTTTATTATTTAATTATAAACTGTAGGACTACATTTTCAGTGGCACTTAAATGTAAGAAAGTGGCACTATGTGAGCAAGTAAGTTGAAACAAATTTTATTATGAGAAATCCTTAAGTTCTAGACAAAAGGTTATACATGCCATTCTGTTATTTGATGATAAATTTATGAGGCCAGAAACAAATGAGGCTAAAGCCTATACCAGACCAAAAGTACACAGGTGTTACAGTATTTAGAGCTTAGCATATTTTACATCCAGGCTGGCTATGTCGGAGCACAGACGAGGGAGCATCACAGATGTGGAATGGTTCTCAGTAAGCAGCATGAATGAGGCAACTTAGCTTCTTGAATTTCAGGTGGGAGAACCGGGGCAAGACAGTTTAGGTACATGGATGTGAACTGTAGCCTGCCAACTTCCCTCTGGACTACTGCCTCGTCTATTTAATACTACAGACATAATTATTTAAACAGATATAGTGGGCCAACTCAAACATGCATGAGTGTAAGGACTTTGGTCAAACATCACTACACACAGGATTCTATTAAAATGTAATAGAAGTATTGGAAACAAATTAAGCCCATTAAATTTTACCTCTTGAAGGTTACACAGCTTAAGATGTGCATCTGCCTCATCTTTAGTGAGAAGAACTGTGTTCCATGGAGACCACTCCTGCTGCTTATCCCATCTGACCATAACCAAATCATAGAGATCACTGCAGGCACTAAGAGCGGACTGACAGCCCCAAATGTTCTCAATCATGTACTGTAGATCTTGCAGCTGAAATGGAAAATGGGTAAGAAAGAAGAAACTTATTTCATTCTACAAGAAGAACATGGTAACCATGTAAGAATCCAAGTCAGCCTTCGAATAAAATATTGTTCTATGCACATGTCATACAATCACTTGGTTAAAGAACATCTAGATATACACTACATCTTCCTCTAGCACAGTGTGGCAATTATCAACTACATTTTTATGTCATCTCTAAAATGCTACATTCTTACTTTGATTGTTTCTGCCAAAGGCAATTTCCCATCTTCCTCTGACATCCTGATTGCTTAAATGCTTTTATAAAACTTCTTAAATCTCATGTTTTTGTTTTCTCGCATGGCATGCTTTAACCTGCTCAGACTTCTTTGGTTAATAATAATAATCCATCTCTGTTATTACTGAGATGTTTACCATTTCATTCAGGGGTTCAGAATTACTGTTATCGAATTATTACTGTTATTACACTACTAAATTACTTCAAGTTTACATGTAGTCAGGATAATAAGGTGTGGAAAATGTAGGAAATTAGGCCAATAAAAACTCTCACCCATGACAGACCCTAAATTGCCTGCTCTGCTTCCTTCCCCTCACTCTGCTGTTGATGTGTAAGAGTTTATGGTGTTCGTGACTCTGTTACTCATTTTATCAAATGAGGTCACATATGATCAGGTAGCTACACTACAACATTAACAAAATATAATGGAAGGTCCGTTTGTAAAGGTTCTCTGGTACAGAAAGGTCTTTAGATATATTTTTCACCCATGTTTCAAGTTATTCTGCATTAATCTTAATTTGTTTAATTTATAACTAGCTGTCAGAAAACACTACTAAAACTTGGTAAAAACAGCACCGTAAATGAAGAAAAAGAATTTAGGACAGCAGTTACCACTGAACTTTGGCAATGTTTTCAGTCACCCTCCATTGATTCTTCTCTGTATCAGTCATGGAAACATTATTGGAAGATTTTTATCTACAGGAGCCTGTAAACAACAGACTTTTAAACAGGTTTTCTTCCATCTAGCCTTTTGAAAAAGGCTCATTCCTCTAAGGAGAAATATTGACTTATTTTGTTAAAATAAACATTTACATGTTATTTATTAAATTCCTGACAAAGGATGAATGAAAGTATACCAGCATGGTGTTTCAGTGATATACAGCCTAACGTATTCTCATCTATCTTGCTTCCAAAAATCCAGGAGCCCATCTAAATTATTTCCAGGGAAAAAGTGGATAAAAGCTTGGCTTAGAACCTCCACTTATAATAAATGTGTGCCTACTAATTCCAGGAACATAAGATTACTGCTACATCTGGTCTTAAATCTGGTCCTGTGGGGCCTCCTTTATTAGGTTTCACTAATTGCTTCTATTTTCAGTATTTCCTCCTTTTCACAAAATTTTGAATAACTTCTATATCTTCTAAGAAGCCAGAAATCTGTCAGCAAACATATTAGCAAGTAGTACTATTTATTTTGTGTGTGTGTGTATGTGAAGCTGTACATCTTAGAAGAATTTGCTAAAGTCTATATTGAAGTATATAAAGTCCCATGCAAAACAGATCTACAATCTGACTCTTTTTCCTGGATTATTTTTTTTCCCTGAAAAAACAGGCAAAAGTTTGTTCTATGTTAAAACTTGTCTAGTTATGGGGGAAAGTTTTACTTAAGAGTCAACTTCTGCACTTTCTTGAGGTAGATATGTTTTGCTGTGAAAATTTACAGCTCATTGATTTCATAAGAAACTCAGTTCCTCCATCCCAATAACTTGTTCTGTTCTCACAAGAAACAGAAATGCCCTTCAAACACTGCCATGTAACAGGTTGGGAGCAAGTATCAGAGAGCACTCAACAGCTGAGACTGGGAAATGAGGGTAGGCAACGAACTGATAAAGGAGTGAAGAGTATTCATTAGTTCAAATGATCACTCCCATTAGGATTTTGCCCATCAAGAAAATCAAAGCCATACTATGTACCATTGATTCTAAGGAGCACGGCATAGTTAAACCCTCTGAAAGAATTAAAGGCAGCCTCAGGACTTGACACAGCTGCTGATCTAGCTCATTTTGATACCACAAAGCAGGTCTTTAGCTGTAGCAAGCTGAATTTAGCGGAGCTACCCTAACACACACCAACTGCTGTTTTTGCCTTAAGAGCACATGAAGTGTTCAGCCCAAGCAGGGTTAGAATCAATACGCAAGACATCTGAAGAAAAATCTTCTATCTTATCACAAAAGTCTTGCATCTATCCACAGACAATCCAGTTTTGGTACTGCACTGGACAATAAATCAAGCTGTCGTAGACATTGCAAAAGACTTCTAGTTGTGCCAGAGTGATTTTTGATGCCTTGGAGCTGTTTTCTGGATACTGTGGAGTAGAGGACAAACAGTGGTTGTTAGGGGAAGAAAAAAAAAAAAAAAAAAACAGCTTGGAAAAATGTCATAATTTAAAGAAACGTTTGAGAAAAGACAAAATTAATAACTTAAGATGCAAATCTCTGCTGTTTAAATATTTACAGCTCTGAAGAGAAAAAGTTAATTTGGATGAAAATGACATGGAGTGTCCAGAGATGCTGTAGTGGTAAAACTGCAATGGCAAGAGAGGGCTTTCAGTGTCAGCAGTTAAAAAACAGTCATGTTTCAGTGCATTAACGGCCACCAGCATTCTGCAAGGTCAAGCATCTGCTGTTCTAATGCAGCCAAGAGTGTTTGCTGGAAATATTTTGTAAGTGATGAGATGTGAGAGACATCCAAGTGAGCTTGAAAGATGTTTACATATTCAAATAAAAAAAAAGAAACAAAAACAAACAAACAAACAAAAACTGTTCAGCTTAAATAGAAACCAGTATTGACAAACAAGCATCTACTAAATCCAAACTCTTCTGTTATATTTCTTAACACAGGCATGATAATTAAAGATCCAATCTTCCTTTTTGGCATATTGATGTCTGGCTTCTGTTTGCTTGGTTGCTGTTTTAGACATCCTGAAAATACAGTTCAAAACTGTCCTATGAATGTTGATGCCATAGAGATTCCTATTTCTAAATCCCAGAATGTTCAAATAAATTTGGGCTGTTCGATTTTCAAAAGATAATATTTTGCAATTACTTTAAAACTTTCCCAGTGGATACTGGATGTCAGATTCTTTTGTTGACAAAACAAATAGTAACAACTAGAAGAGACAATTTGCCAAAGGTAGAGACAAGAAGCTCTTTGAACTGAGTTGTTCTTGCAATGATCATTAAGAAACATTACCTACTTAGAAATGCTGCAGAAGACTACATATAATTACATATGATAGTAAATAATTTAGAAAAATAAAATATTTAGTGAATCTCTCTCACTGAGTGCAAAGCAGTAAAAATTCCAACTATACAGATGCTCTGCTGACATAAAACAGAATGTAAAGACTCTGTTTTCTTTATGTTTTCCTTCTGAGAATATAAAAAATTCACTTGTATTACTACAACAATTCAGAAAAAGGGGCTAAGGTTGATTTACTAAACCTATGTCTTCAGCAATACTCCAGCCACAAAAACATCACTGTTCCTTTACCAATGATGCCAGTGGCTTTAAGCAACAGTATCACCACAGCAGTACCAGAGAATCTGGATCATCTGTTTCTTTGACCTGCTAGCCAGTCTTCTACCTTCTTTTAATATATCGCTTGTAACCACAGCTACATTTCAAGAGCTTGAGTGCTTTTTCTTAATGGTAGTGAAGATCACATATCACAGGGAGAAGTTTTTGTCGCTTTTAGCTTTTAGTTCTCTTCCTGTCAACTACATCCACAAAATAAAAGGAAAATTAGAGACAAAGCCACCAGTTTCCATTATTAGCAATGATCTCTCAGACAGTACCTGAACTAAGAAAACAATTTTAGTATCATCCTGGTAATCAGCTTCAGACTTTCTGAGATTTTCTAGTATAAGTCTGTACTTCAAAAATGATTCTCGTTGCCGAGCCTCATTATCAAGCTTGCAACACAAGTGACATCTGCCAATGGTGTGGGAATTAGCAGGAACAGGAAATTCAGTAGATGGTAAGTAATTTTCGCAGCTATGACAGAAGTTAACATTTTTATAGAGCTTTAGAGGATCTGGTGGAACCTAAAAGATTAAAAAAAAAAAAAAAAAAGGTTAATTTATCACAACGTGATAATATCTTTGTATTACTTGTGTGCCACCCTAACTCTACCATGAATACATGTATTTATGCAAATATTCTAATATTTAAAATCCACTAATTAATTTTAAAATACTCATTAGGATTTATTTTTCTTTTAAATAGAAGACCAAAAGCCATTCTATTTTCTTGCTGTACTTGTTTAAACCAGTTATACAAATCAGTCAGTTTGGTTTTTTAAGATATATGAAGACCTTCTGCTCCAGTGCTCTTGCTAGTGCTTTTCTGTAAGCAGATTGTCATCCTTCCAGAATGGCTGATAACACAGAAAGCAGAAACCAATTCTTCAGCATTTAATTTTTCATGTGGAATCTGTTCTTCACGTCAAAGATAAAGCCTTGAGCTTGCAGGCATATTAATACTTCAGCATAAAAATATGAAATCATCAAAACTCTGTGTCCAAAAGCAATACTGGGGAAGATAGTGAACGAAACTTGCTAAAAAACTTATCCTCATCTTGCTTTGTGGTTCTGGAAGGAGTATAATGCAGTCTGTGCAAAAGGCTCAAGTCTGTAATAGGGTAGCTTGAACAATCTGACAATCCCACTACCTACCGTGGTCATCTGCCTTTCTTTGAAATGCCCAGAGGCTGTGGTCACTTTGACTGTCTGTTAATGAACTGCCATCTTTTTTTATGGTCTACAGGAGGTTACAAGGTTCAAAAATAGGTGCAGTTCAACCTTGAACTCAAGATACAGTGAACCAAAAGCTACAAAACCCAAGCATTTCCCATTCCCACTCTCTGCTATGACCCATCTAGGTAACCCTGATGATAAACGTAGTGAAAATTTACTGTTAGCTGATTCTAAAGCCCATTATCATTTACTAGGTCCCTATCCTTGAGACACTATCAAACACCATAAGAGGAATCCTCTCCTGATACATGCAGAATACATGTCTTTGCCTAAACCAGCCATAATGAGTGATATTTTTACTACAGTCTGCAGTTAGAAATGAAAAAAAAAAAAACAATTACACAACTTAAAAGAGGTATCTACCACTATCTCCCCTTCCTAGCTGGATCTGCTTTTCATGAAGTAACAATTGGTTGTACAACAGCAGCTCATCACTTTGACAATGGCAACGTTCCTCCTTCCTGGATTTGTGAGACATTACACCTTCTTCCAGTGGAAGAAAAAATGCTTTGCAATTAGGTCATTTTCAGCTCTCTCTGTTGGTTGGTGTGGTTGCTGTTACAATTTCCTGTTACTACCTTGTAAGATCTGTAAGACCTTACAGCGCTCTCTCTTTACTATCTGCTACTTCTCAGATTGTTAAAACCATGTTAAAACTATGCTTTCTATATGACTATATAAGATGATTTGTATGAAAATTGTATGTATTTTTACTTCTTGAGTAAACTTCTTTACTTCTTTCTTTTACTCCTCCAGCAATTCTACAGCAAAAAGAAATAAAAAAGTATTCATGGTTTTCCACTCCCTTTTCTATCCTATTTAGTTTCATGGCTATTAACTCAGACTGCAAAACAGGAACAATACCTTAAGTATCTTTGCAACTTCAGGGTTAAACTTCGGTGTTTTAATATACTGTAGAAATAACGTACAAATTCTTTTCCTCAGTCCTTCTAAGTTGCATTCTTTCACCTCTCTCGACATAAGATCAACTTCTCTGTCAATTAATTCCACTATTTCCTTTGTTAATTCACATGCATGTTCCTGAAGGAAAGTACAGGATAAAAAGGGGGAAAAAAAAGTACAACAATATAACAAACAAAATAATTCTAACACAGATACAAAAGCAAACTATGGACACTATGCCATTCATTCACAGCCCCTTACATTCTCAATACGAACAGAAGAACCTGTAGTGTCTTAGGAAAATAACCTTTAAAAACACTAACGTAAAAAGCCAAACAACTAAGAATACTTACAGATTTTGCTTTAAGGAGCCTGTATGTATACTGAAGCTATGAAGAACTGCAAATCTGGAGGCACTAAAAAACACTGAGCATCTGAGATGAGGCACAGAACACAGGCACAGTTTTCAGTCTCCAAAATCCCCAGGAAGTCCCTAAGAAGCTTCAGCTTCTTTTGGCACCCTCTGGCTATGTGACAGGAGGTGTAACATGTATACACAGTTGTGTTTTTTTTTGTTTTGTTTTGTTTTTTTTTTATATATATATTTTAAAAGAAACAAAACCAAAACCACCCAACCAGTCAAAACACACACACTAAAGACCTGGGAGATTTATAAGCATCCTTGGAAATTAGTCATTTCAATACTTCAAATGCTTATAAAGAGATTCTCCAGGGATAGATAGCAGGTGACTAAGTTCAGGGTTTCTTCACCTAAAACATGAGTGTTAATTTACAGAAATTCTAGGCTTTGATTACTACAACAATGACTGTATTCAGATGGGCAGAAGTTCATAAATTAGCAATGCTCCCAATGTCATATTGACTTCAGATCAAATTCTGCTATTACCAAAGGCAACAGGAAGATGCTAGTTTGTTTCAGTAAGACCAGGAAGCAACATTCTGTTCTAGTTTGATGTCATTTTATCATCTTGAAAGTGCCTTAAAGCTGAATTAAATAAATAAATAAATAAAAGGTTTAAAAGAAATGCAGTCAGCTTCTATTTCACTAAGAATCCTGGCAGTAGCAGTGGGGATGGGGAGTGAGAGGTAAAAGAAAAAAAAAAATCAGTATTTGCCAGACATAAAAGTGGCAGCCAAAGCAACAGAGAAATGATAAGGTTGTGAATGGGGAATCTTTCAATCAAAGGAACATCTGTTTCAAGAAAAACAAAAAAATAGTAACAGGCACTCTCATCTCTATCATGGTTTTCATCAAGTTGTTACAAATATTAAGCTAATCTTTGTCCTATATTTGTATTATATTTTAATACACACACACACACACACACAAAAAAGACCAAAAACTTAAAATTCTACCACAACTTGAAGAAAAATGCGTACATCACAAAGTGCAATATGAATTTAGAGTATACCTGGAATATAAATTATTCTCTCATGGTACATTAGACTCTTGCTGCCAGCTGATCACGCTGGCACCTATTTGCCAGAAGAAGAGTTGCATATGTATTGACATAATTAAATGACTGTACCTCTGGAAAGTGTAGCTTCAAGCCAAACATAAATAGAAAAATAAAACATACCTCCACTGTACGTCTGAGTGTTAACAGCACATCTACTCTCTCATCTTGTGGGATGTCATTCATGCTAACACTGCGGTAGATTTCAAGCAGTTCTCTGGCTCGGAGTGTGTACGGTGTATCCATTTCAGTGGTTTTTCCATCATATGCTTTCCATCTCTTGGGTTGTGCACACTTCAGAAACAATTTGTACAACTGAGCTATTATAAACTGATCACCAGCTGACCAAGTGCATTGTTACATCAGGTTTCACCAGAGCAAACACTGACTTGACTTTAATGCTTGGCTAACACAAAAGGCTAATTCTATTGTCGATATTTCTACAGTACCTTTTCCACCAGAGCAAGCATTCAATTGCACACTTTGTTTAAAATTGCAGGTCATGAAAATTTTGACTTGGAGTATATTAAAAATAAATAATATTCTCCTACAGGGATACGCTCTGCTTCTTTAAAATGAATTTACTGACAGTAGTGATGGAATACATTTGCTCTGTGTTTCATCTCACAGTCATAAATCCCTCTAAACTATCAGTAAGATCAATGGGACTGTTGACTGTGTAAAGATCTCAAATTTAAGGCCTCAAAGGCTACTGCGGTGCAAGGCACCTCCAGGGAACTGTTCTATTTTCGCTAGCTCTACAGGCAGATAGAAGGCATAGACTGGTAAAGCTGACTAAGGTACAGTATGAATTTACAGCTTATTGGATACTTAGCTGGCTCCTGTTTTGCAAACCTAACTACAGACCATACTATTCCAATTCTCTTTGCACATCTTGAACTTCTGCAGTGAGAAGTTACATGGGATCAGCTGCACTACTCAGTTCGAAGAGTCCTGGCATTCTCCTCTTCCTGCAGGACTGGCTCTGGTTGCTGTCCACACTGATACACTGTGGGGCTAATTAACCATGGAGATAGATACCTAAATCCAACAGAAAGCTGGCATTCGAAACCCTCTCCCTATCGTTGTCTAACACCACTCCTCTTACACGGAGACAGTTATTTGCAATTTCACTGGGTGTGTTAATCATTAATTTTCACTGCATTTGAAACTTGAATATTCTCAAACACCTGTGAACTTCACTTTGAGATCTCAGTGTCAGCTAACTAGAGCAACACTTCATGAAGCCTTTGGATGCCTGAGTAGTTTTGTGGATATGATTTTAGTATCTATGTGATGATTATTATTATTATGATGATGGCTTGCGATGGTGGGAGGTCATACAAATAGCAAGAATGTTAGGTAGATAGAACAGATAGGAGCAGTCTTCACCACATCAAAATAGGGCTTTCATCTTTTAAAATTATAAAATTAGGTAAGCAAAAGAAAGACAAAGTAATTGAAAAGAGGGCCTAATACTGGATAACATTTAATTACTTTATCAGTAGGGATGGAACTATAATTAAAGTATTATTAATCAGAGATCACAATCCAGATCCAGAACTAATTAAGAAATGCAACAGCAAAATGGACATTAGTGAAAAGTAGAACTCGTCATTCCTTAATGAAATCTTTGAACTTCTGCAAAACCAGAAAGAAGCTGTTTTCTGTCAGGGAGAGAAAGGAGCATTCTAACATAACTTCATGACTTTGTTACACTAACTTTGTACAGTACTAGAAATACTGAAAAAAAAAAAAAGAGGCAAACAAAAACCCACCAACTTAGAAGAAATATTACGTTGCCCATCTACCTTATGAAAAAGCTGCGACAATCATTGATTTCCACAGTGTATGTAACTGCAGTACATACATTTGATCCTCTACAAAGAAATCACTTTTTGTAAGACATAAAGGTCATCTGCTTATACTAGGGAGAGTCATTGAGCAGAGATTGCCTAGGACACGGTTACTGAAGCTAGGTTCCTTTGGTAAGTTTACACAATCCAGATATGAGCTAGCAGTCTCAGGGCTGTACGCTGCAGACCACCTGTAACACAGACCAGCTATGTTATGATCACATTTAAACTACTTAAATCAAGAAAACCTATCTGTAACTTCCTCACTACCTCATCAAAAAGGGTATTTTATAAAATGAAGCAAATTAAACAAACAATGAATGATGCAGCTTTTTATTGAAAAAATAAATACAGAGATCTCATCATTATGGACAGGATTTCGAGTGTTTCAGAAAGAATCTCAATCTCACTGATTTCAGGACTATTTTCATGAAGGATTGACATAACAAAACTAAAATTACAGGTTTTTTACCCAGCTTTCTCCTGACTGAAACTGTCTGCTGGCAGTGCTGTGGAATTTACAATAATGCTGTTATCTGTATTACTTCAGAGAGCAAGACTACTGTAACTGCACTCTGCTGCCAGCACAAGAAACCAGAAAAAAACACCTGAAGAGAGAAACAAAAGAGCACAGATACAGAGAGAAAAAGGTAAACAAAGCAAAGAAATGAAATTCAGAAGACGTGTGCAAAAATAGCAAAAAGTTTGAAAGGTATGAATAGAACAAGAGTTAATGATTACAGGAATGCCTTTTTAAAAAAACTCCAATTTTGCTCTTCAAAATTTGAATGCAGACAAATGAACTTGGTGTAAAGAAGACACCTAGAAGGTAGTGCACACGTGACCAGGAGAAAACATTCTAAAAGCACACAGGCATGATTAGGGTACATGCCTAACTTAGGAATGAAGGGAACAAAAGTTACTATGAAAAAGCAACTTTCATATCATGTTGGCTAAGTAGAGCTGCTTGCATTCTTCATACATGAAAGGCGTCATTACAACTTTAATGGCAAGTGTCTGAATTAACATTATCAGTTCAAAGCTGAAGAAATAACTGAATAAAGTGGCTATAATCCACTCCAACAATAAATTTCATGTGTTTAAATTGCCTTGTTACAATCATAATGAGCCACCTATTCAGTTTGACATTGCCTTTGTTTTTTTTTAAATGCAGAGTTTATTACTTTCTTTATCTCCTGTGTTAGGCTGCTATCTTTGTCAATGGGTTAGTCCAACACTGCAGTTGAAATGATGTTAAAACAAAGAAGAAAAAAAGCAAACAAACAAACAAGCAAACAAAACCATGAAAAGATGCAGAAATTAAGCTAACTAGCTTGTCAAATTAGAAAGAAATTAGTCTCTGTACTGAAACACAAATGTATCAATGTAAAATATGAATAAATAAAATAGTAATAAGTGCTCCTGAAGTATGTCCACTGTTTGGAAAGAGACGTCTCTTGTCTCTCAGGTCTCTCATGAATCTCCAACCATCAGCTATCAATAGGGGTTCTGGTACTGAAGAACATTTTACTTCTGATTCCTAAATGCAAGAAAACTGTCTGGCTCCTGAGAATATATACCAGAAGTAATCTATACAGGGTAGCACATTGGAAAGCAGTGCAGAAAAGAAAAATAAAGATCAAGATACAGTTAAGAGGAAATATATTTGCTTTAGACTGAACCAGGCTTCTTTTCCTAGAAGGATGATGAAGGAATGATGTTAAATAGTAGAAGCAAATATTTAATATAGAAATGCTTTGTGGTTCTTGGTATCGTTCCTAAATATTTAGTTTATTTGTTTTTTGCACTCTTGATAGCAGTAACAGAGAATTCAGTCATGTCACGGCAATAAACCTGGTAGCAGTTCGCCCAATATTTCAGATAAGTAATTTGGTCATAATGAAGAAAGATGATAGACTTTATCAAATCATTTTCTGGGGGCCTGTTCCCATGCATCAATAATAAAATGAAGAGTTTCCTTTGGACGAAACTGCCACTTTTGAGCACTAAATAGTCTAAAAATTTTGTTATTCCCAAACTATTGCTGTTGCAGTATTTCTTTTCATAATTATTTCATATCCCCTGAAAGCAGACAGAAAAGAAAATAATCTTCTCAGAGGTTAGATTGCTGTTTTAATTTAAAATAACTTGATTTTTTGTACTTCACATTAAAGAGCCACTGAATGTGATGTCATTCTAAATCATCTTTATATGAACTAATTCTATTTTTTGTTTTTCAAATAGATGAGAACCCAAAGAACACTCACATTAAATTTCATCCCTATGATTACACAAAAATAAAATCTCAAGTTAAAATTGTAGTTCAGCTGAAACCAATGAGTTAATCACTGAGTTCAATAAGATACAAGATTCAGTTAAAGCTCTCTTGGGTTTCTATCCTGTACAGGAACACAGAGTAAATACTTCCTTTGAAGACAGGCATAAGATTATTTAGGAACAGAAGCCTGTGCTCAATGGGGAAATAAACAAAAAATCTAGCTCCTGCAGTATAACATTTTTGAGGGAAGAAAAAAAGAAAAAAAATAACTAATTAATTCTGTAGGGTAAAATTTAATTTTTACAAATATTTAATGCATACTTCAAAGTTTGCATTTAAGTTTAAATGCAATAGCAAACTTTTCCGCTATAGAGAGCAATGAACAGTACATACCAGAGGGAAGATCATTGAGTTGTTCGTTTTGTTTAGTGAAACTGAGTATTTTTGAAAGGTAAGCTTATAGGCAGATTTTTAAAGATACAGAAACTGATTAAGAAAGAACAGTTTCATGCATGAATTCTTACATTCTTATTCTCACAATACAAAATACAGAATAATATGCAGTGTCCTGATATTTTATAATGGCTTAAATTAGCCATTCTGAGTTCTGTTAGAACTTGAGCCTTGCATGATGTTAAGTGCCACCAGAATCATGTCCTTTATGCACGATGGTTACACAACACAAAATTAATCTGCTCTGTGCTGATTTTTGTGTTATACATATACACAGCTACTTTTGTATATGAAAAATCTCAAGTGACAGTCCTAATGATGCACTGATGCATTGTTCATCCTTCAATAATCAGTCACAGTGCTAGGGAATTTTCTCAGCTTGGAAAAAGAGCATCACTGACATGAACAACTAGAAAATCTGGATATAGAGAACATTAGGATTCACATGATTAACTTGTAAAGCTATAAAAGTTACTTTGGGCTGGTAATTTACAGATGCCTTTTCTCTTCCTGTACTTCGGAACTTTACATGTATGTTCAGCCTAAAACTACTTTACTGACCTTACTCAGAAAGTGCAGTACTGCTTTATGTTGATTCTCCTCATCTGCATTTAGCTTGTGTCTCCCAATGGAAGCAATCAGCTGTGCCTCTTCTTCTAGAAGTCCACAAAGTGCTGCCTTTCTTTCAGCTCCAGTAAGAGTTGCGTTAATCCGTTCAATCTCCTCCTGTCTCCACGCTACAGGTATAAATGTTTTAGGTATTTTTTTAGATGCTTTCCTGTGAAATTCCTACTTTCCTATTTCAGACATAACATAATTATTAGTAATAATAATTAAAAACCAGTTTCTGTATTGGGAAATCGATTGTTATACATATTTTCAGTACACACAAAATGGCACAGAAATTAATGTAAATGATACAGGTGCTCTAAGAGCGTGTGAGTGTACATCAATTGCATGCTGCCAAGTCATACTCCAAACTCAAAGACGATTTAAGAGAAAAATGAAAAAGAAGAATAATTTAGTTTCTGTGGAAATTCAGGGTGCAATGATTTCTTCATGATTTTGCATCTCAAATAATAATGAGTCTCAAACAGCTGTGAATGATATGAACACAAGAATCATTTTAAACAAATGCTGATCAAACTTGCAAGACAAGATATCATGAAGATCCTCCCAACAGATTAAGAACAGCATCTTATTGCAGTGCCACTGGTACTCAGTGCTTAGAAAACCACTGCTTCTTCCTGCAGAAAACAGTAAAATCTAAAGAAGACTGACGTCATCCAAACCCAAGATAAAACTTGGCTGACAATCATGTTTAGCTCTTCAGGTCTTAACAGTGAATATTGAGTAGTATCATCTTTTGCCACCTAAGGCAGATGGAAACACACTTATAAATAGACAATCACTACTTCACTCTCCATTTCCTCTTCCAGAACTGAACCCTTTAAATAGAAGGAAGGGACACCAAGCCACTAGATAATAATGACAGCAGCAAATGAATCAGTACATGCTGTATGAGCACCTGGCCTTCTAACTCACAGGGTCAAATCACCAAACCACAGGTATCTCCTACACTTTGAAGTATAAACTAAATACTTAATAACAAACATGCAGACACACCTATCATGGCTTATTTTCTGGTACCCCTTCTGATATGCAGCCTACGTGCCCTTACAGTAATCCCTCAGTAAAATCATTATGTTTATGGAAAGCTGTTTTGCTTTGCATACATCATAACAATTCCTGGCTTTTCTGAAGGGTCAGTTCCATTTCAAATACATCCTGATATTTTTGTAGGTAATTTTGTAAGATCCCAAGTTTCCATATTCCTGAATAGCATCTCAAAGTATCTTGTTATTATTTCAGAATATTTATACAAAAGCAAAACATAGGGTAGAGAAAACAATACAATGTGATGCACACTTACTGAAAAAGCCTATAACATCAGGTAAGATTAAAGGCAGGAGGAGGGATGGGAGGAAGGTTTATTTTCTGCCCCTGGCTTCCTTATCTACAATACCTTATGTTTTCTATTTTAAAATATTTCAATCCATTTCCTTAAGGCTCTCCAAGCTTTGGTATTAATGTGACAGCTGTCTGACAAATTCTGAGTACCCAAAGATATATTTTAAAATAAAGCCATTTCAGCAAACAAAAGCACAGCATAGAATTAATTTACATGAAGCTTTATATGCCTGAAGGGGGCAGCAACTTCAAAGGTAGAGTTAATAAATACAATAAGCAATTTTGTACTTGCAGAGATGAAGGTGCTACGAAACAGTTATCCATACTCACCTAGGGATTCACCATATACATACAATCAAGTTAAAGACATTCTTCTTAGATTATATTTTACAGATAGAGATTGGATCATTATATTTTTTTTCCTAGTGTTTTTATTGAGCAAATGAAGTTGTTCATACTTTTCAAATAACTAACCAATGTCTCTATATGCAGACATGTAGAATATTTAGATACATCTCATTTGCACCAGACAGTCAGCAGGCAAGTTTTTGTACCAAAATGAATTGCTTCTACTGGCTGACCCTGTAATATTATCCTGGAGTTGTGATCAGCAGCAATAACCTTCACAATCTCTAGAGGACAATAACCTCATTCTATTACTGTCACAATGATTTAGCTTGTGTAGACTGGTGACACTATAAGAATGTAAAAGGAGTTTCAGATGCAGGTAGGAAAAAAAAACAAACCAACTTCCTAGAACCACTAAGCTCCGTTATAACAAAGAGCATGACTGCAAGTCTCCAGAGAAGCAACTAGTCAACAACTGTAAACAAAACAAAAGCAAACAAACAAAAAAACAAAACAGATTGATACCAGCCAATTATTTTATAGCTTTTGAAGTGGCACGTGCTTCTCAGGTTGCCTAGATCTTAAATTCCTGAACATGCAAAACTGGAAGTTCTGTTATTTATGAATCCAACTGTATTAAATTAAGCAAAAAAAGACAGTTATATAACAATAAGTTTTAAATCTAAGAATATCAGGGAAATCAATGCTTAATCACAACTTTATCTCAACTTTCTTGCTTCTATTGCAAATCAGCCTCTACACGCACAAAGAATTAGATCACAGTTGATAGCACATTAACTAGGAAGAAGTTTTTTAAAGAAATACTGGAGAAAATCAGATACTAAACAGTAGTCCTTGCCAGAAATTGAGAGAGAAAATAATCAGTTGAATACCTTGGGTTTTGATTATCAAGTTAGGCCTTTAAGAGGGCCAATTCTTCAGAAATAAAAAGCAAATCTTCTCTGAGGAGAAAGAGGGAAGGAAAAAAAATAACCAACCAATCACAAGTCCCAGAAAGATATAATCCCCAAAATTTTAAATATTAAAACCAGTAATAAATTTTTACATTTGTCACAGAGAACAGTAATATTCGTATCATTTACACATTTGGACAAAGCAATTTGTTCTGTGCCACACAAAGTATGACAGAATTTAAGATAAGTGTGTAACCTGGGACTTCTTGAATCATGAGCCTAAGCTGTATGAATAACATGCGGCCAAATTTATTTACTCAGTTTGCAATAGGAAAAATAGTTGGGATGGTTTAAGGTACATCCAGTAGCTTTGCAATGAATCAGGTAATCCATTAGATCAGATCTGCATTAGGAACAGTAAGGTAAAAACTGCTGAAGAGTTATTATACCATAAGCAAGCACTGTAGGCTTAGATAAAATATGAGTTATAGAAGTGACAGTGCAAGCTTCTTGCTTAAAAGGAGACATTTTAAAAGAACTCTTGCAGGTTTTTTGTTTGTTTTTGTTAGTTTGTTTTTAATGTGCTGGTACATATCTTTCATTTTTGTTTTTCCAAAATGGCTAATTTTCTGTTATATTTACATTATTCTCTTGTTAGACTTTTAGCCAATTATCTGCAGTATTCACTTTATTTTGCCAGAAAAGTTTAGAGGTGCTTGCCTCTATTAGACATCATCCACTCTGATAGGAGAAGTCTTTCAAGATGCTCTATAGGAGTCTTAACAGATTTTTAAATTTTTGACAGCAGTTTTGTGAAACATGGAATACATTAGAAAGGAAAAGAAATGGCAACAGAAGAGGACATGGACGAAAGCAAAAACTTCATTTCTCTTGTAAATTTCTGGGCAAAACATAACCCGTTATGAAAATATCTATATTAAATGAGTCCCGCAAAACAGCACAAATACTAGCACCATTCTATAAGCTGATAATTTCCTAAAAAGCTTCTAGAAATATATAAAAGTCATATAATTCCTTAAAAAAAAAAAAAAAAAAAAAAAAAAAGAAACTTGCCAAAACCAGAAAAGTTTGTTTTAGACTGTACTCTTTTGCTGCTTTAGGAGCGTCCCTTTAAGAAAAACTTACATTCTAAAGCATGGTAAAGCAGCTCAAAGAAGAAAAACTTACATTCTAAAGCATGGTAAAGCAGCTCAAAGTCTTCTTTTGTTTTAGGGTTCAGTCTTCGATCACGTTCCCTCCTCACTTTGTCTTCTTTCTCTTTTTTCTTTTTTAACTCTTCTTGTGCCTCCCATGCCAGCCTCAGTCTCTTTTCTTCCTTCAATTTTTTTACTAGGTTTCTAGCATGCCAACGGCGGAAACATTTCTGTAATACTATTACCTACATGTGATACAACACCAAAAAGTCATCAATTTAAAAACAAACAGCATAGTTATTTTGGGTTCCATTTCTACAAGATCTTAGGGGTGTCAGGTCATGCTAACCAAGCAAGTTCTTACAGAAAACTTCTAACCAGAAGATACTAAAGCATCTGGCTAAACATATCAATACAATTATCTCACTTGGGGAAACCAATTGTTTATCCATTTAGTCAAACTGCCTATTTCAAGAAATTAAAATAAGACCTAGGGCATTTACAAAGCAGTGTCCAGGCTAACATGATGACAAGGCGTACTTAGGTGCACAGCCACTGAATAGGTGGCTTGCATGAAGAAACTTAGAATGCCTGAACAGCCAGCCCTGCACAATCTCTGTGCAGTCAGAATCACCTTCAGGAAGCAACTTTGTGCACCAAAAAGAACCCACAAGCCCACTGTGTGTGTCAGGTCTGTTTATAAATAAATATATAAATACGTACATACATACAAAACACAAAATCCGGAAGTCAAATGCAAGTCGTGTAAATCCTAGTCCAATACTCCAGCTATTTGAGGCTGTACATGGCATTAAAGTCCTTCTGAGGATATGAGAATGCCATAGGGACAAGTGTATTTTAATCCTTAATATGTATGGAAGTTTACCTTAAAATAGATATCATTACATTCACAATGTACAATATTTAAGAAACCATAAGGTCTCATTCAAATGTTGCTGAAAACACTAATATTGTAAATGTGCAGACACACACTTACCCTATATCAGAAAGATTACCAAATGTGAAGATTAAGCTGACATTTGGAAGCTCACTGTTGAATTTACTCTTTGAACACTCTTTAAATATTCAAGTAACCTTTGTGCAACTTTACTTCACAGATACAGTTGCAAACAGAAGAGAACTTACAGCTTCAAGTCGACGTTTATGGTATTCTTCTGCTGTGAAATACTTTCCAGGTGTTATTAGTTTGTCAGTCACGCTTGACACATACAAGCCAACCTTAGTCATCTGTGTTGATGTTGGATTTGCTGTTTGTTGACGTTTATTTTTTTGAAACACAGTCTGGGGAAAAAACACGTGTCAAATTGTAACAAAACACAGAGATTGTATTGATCATCATTACAAGAAGTACAACATTAGCTGTTTATAAACAAAAACAAAAAACACAAGCCTAACGATATTAATCCATTAAATACGTTCACCTGCATACTTATTGCTGACTTACATCCTCATTCCTATTTGAAATAATTGTGTCAATGTTCTATTGTTTAGAAACAAATAATAATAATAATAATAGAACATTCTAAAAAGACACTACAAAACTATTACCTGTGTTTCCCTACAAAATAATGTAGTTCCTTTTTCAGGTCTTTTTTTGGGTATTGTTTGTGATCCTGCATTATGAAATTCCACTCCTGTTATTCTGTTCTTAAATCCACCCAGAAACGGTTTACGAAAAGTAGGTCTTTCAATTTTTACAGCTACATCTTGGAAGGTATCAGGATCTGTCCAAACAGAAGTTCCAAGACAGAAATATTGTTTCTTTTAGTAACAGATTGAGATTTTAAAATGTTTGTTTATCTATTGAGATAGATACACATTTAAAAACACCATTTACCTGTTTGTACTCTGACAGTGATGACATCAGGCATGCGGTAACCCTGTTGAACTGCTTTCCTGGGAAAATGTCCCAGATCAAGATGCAACTTCTCACACTGGATAGTTTCATGAAATGTAGCCACACTCCACATAAGAGTTTTATTATCCTCAATTATGCTTCCTAAAAAAATAAAAACAAAATTAATTTCTGATATGCTTCTCAAAACAAATAAAATACCTCTTTCAGGTTTACACCTAAATGATGTTATTGAAACATTTTAAGGCAGAATAATCATAGATTTTTAAGCTGGAAAACAGTTTGCTTCAACAGAAAGCTGAAGCAGTATTAGATACTATTTAAAGAGAGATCTAACGTAATGCTTTTACCACATAAAAAGTCATTCATATTCCAATTTAAAAAGTTATAGTAGCTAAATGTATGTTTTATTCTCAAGTAAATAATTTTATAACAGTTAGTCATGTACACAGTGAACCATTATTGAAAATCTTACTGAAACCCACTCCAGCTTAGACCCGATCTAAGCATACGATGGCTGAATCTGTGTGGTCTTCCACACGTTGACTTTGTGGTGTTGACTCAAAGACTATGAACCAGATTTACTTAGCTTGAAACTCCAGACATTACTTCTTTTTGGCTTAGAGATAAGATACACCATCTGGCTTTGGTACAGTGCTCTTCCCAGGAAGTGATGACCAGCTACTTGAAATAAGAGCATCTGCACAGAACCCGGCCAAGAGGCAGGCAGGCAGCAGCTCTGTATTGTCACTCACTGTGCTCACACGTGGAATGGGATGCGCTACCTTCAGCTCTGAAGACCTAAGGAAGTAGGGTGCTGAATGGAAAATGGGAAGTCACACAGGACAGAAGAGAAAAGCATCAAGTAAATGCAGGAAGCGCTGGAGTGTTTTGGGGACTGCAGGAGAAAGGCATGGAGTTCAGAAGGGTGACAGGTAAGTTACAGGCGAACCTCAGAAAGGTAAAATAGCAAGGTGACTGCTATGATCTAGCCTAAATTATTAGAAGTCATGTTATATTTGAATTATGCACTGCTATTTTTAACACACCTGTACAAAACACATAAACATACTCATATACATTTCTGGAAACAAAGATTGCCCTATAAAATGTCATATTAGTATACAAATTGCTATCACAATGTGAGATAAATAATGCATTCCTCACCTTTTCAATCAAATTTTATATAAGAATTTTAAAAGTCACTTCAAAACCAAAAACCTGCAAATGTGAACAGGAGGGTGTGAGGAGTGCAAGATGGCATAATCAAGTTGAAGAAAAAAATCTCCTTAAAGCACTAATGTCCAACGTTTCAACAAGTTCTTTACCTGTCACTGTCGAATTTGTCACATTCTCTGACAGCACTGCATCTTGAGATGTTTCTTTTTCCCTTTCTGAATTTTTTAATTCAAGTGAAGTAGGGTGACTTGTAGCAGTAACAGGAGATGCATTCTCGGGTGATGCACTGAACGGGCCGTCTGGCTCACACGCACCTTGCTCACCATTTTCCATCGCTCTGAAAAACTTTTCCTAAATCCTCTCTCAAACAGCCTACTCGGAACAGCTTGATGACTTATTTTCATCCAGCTGCAAAACACTAAGCATCTTCACAGGTCTTTAGCACACATAACGCTCCAGCACAGTGCCAGCGAGCGGCCAGCAGCCCCTACATGTTTGTACGTATGTATATAATGCATATATACATCGGTGAAATGTGCACAGGGAGGAATTCACAGCCAAACCAGCCGGCGGCCAGGCCCTCCCTCAGGGCGCACAGTCAGGGGCTCACCTCCCCTCAGCGCCCCTCAGCGCGGGCACCACCAGGGGGCAGTGGGTCGGGCCGTTGGCCGCCCGCCTCCCCTTCTCTCCCCCCGGCTCGGGGCACAGCTGGGACCCCGGTACCCCGGTGCTTTGCTCCTTTCCCCCCCGGCTCTGTCAGGGCGTCCCGATGCAGCCGCTCCCTGCAACCATGGCAGCGCGGCCCCAGGCATGCGCCCTGAGGGGCGGCGGGGGACGCCGGGGAAATGGCGGCGGCGGCGCCGTGAGGGGACGGGGGCAGCCCCGCCGCAAACCCCTCGCTTCGCACCGGCCCTGGCTTGTGACGAGGGGAGATGGAGGGTGTCGGGCATTTCCTCTGCGGGCAGGGGAAGGAAAGTCCCGTGTGAGGGGATTCGAGGGGTGCGAATCGACGAGCTGTTGCTACAGCTCGCACAGGTGTCTCAGCGCCATGCAGGAAAACCCTGAGTCCAGCGACCTCGCACAGCTACTTTAGGGATAAAAGGCACAGCTGCGTGGTGCCAGGCTCTGGAAGGACCCTGGTAAAAAAGTTATTTCAATATAAATATAATTACATATTTCAGTATATATGGAATTACATCCACACACTATGTAACAGTATGCCACATTCATGTTACAAAGTCTCACAGACTACAGATTACGAACACAGGCCTGCTTCCCATAAAAAGGGCAGAAACAGCCCCTTACTACTGGTATCTGTTTTCTGACCCCTGGACTGAACCTGAACTCATGGTAGAAGAGGACCAGAAGTAATTCTATAGAACTAGTCACTTTGTCCCTGTCATATAACCACGCTGGTCAAACATTCAAACTCACTTGCAGTGTGAAAAATTATTTTCATACTTTGGGAAAGCATATACCTCGAAAACAAAAAAGCATCTTTCATCTACTTCCCATGGAATGCCAACAATCAAAATTACATAGATTAAAGTTGTCTTAAGAAAACAGCCACTCCAGACAGACTAAACAGCACAGATAGCACTTGAGACAAACAAAAACCTCAGTGCTGCTGTTAGATGGCAATCTAAACGTTGTTTTACTGGTTTAACAATCTGCATCTCCCTTAGGTTGTCTTAGGTGATTGTCACACATAATGACTTTAATCAGAGGATCTTACAGTGTTTTGTTAACTCTAAGGTTTGTGCTGATTTACCTTACCATACAACAACAGATGAAGTCTTTTGCTTCATCACATATTCCAACATAGTCAATCAAGAAAAATCAAGCAAAATCATTATAATCAGTCTCCAAACTATGCCTTGCTAGCATATTCATCTTAAAATAATTTACTTGCAACATAGTACTCCTAATATAGGTTCTCTCTTGCCTTTAAAATATGTGTGTACTGTTTGTTGCTACCCTGTGGATTTAAGTATCAGGTATATAGTTACAAAGCAAATAGCAGGGTAAAAATTACTTTGTTTCTCTTCTTGGCAGAGGTATCCCAACTAGGATGAAGTGAACTACACAACACCAATACATCTCAAAACAAAGACCATTGTCTTTCGTTTGTTTTCATTAACTGCTATTTAATGCTGATTCTACAGCATACTATTAATTTAGCAAACTTATGAATCCCATCCATGCTACACTTCTGCTTTCTAAAATTGTGGAACAAAACTGAACTAATGATAGAAGTAATGGAAATAAAGGGTAAGGCATGCAGAGAATTTGATAAAAAGCTGAAAAGTCCTTATCTGTGATTCCCTGACTTTGGCTTCAGTAGAACCTTTTTAAGATTCAAGTTAATCAATTCCTAAATTAAAGTGTTTGTGAAGACTAATTCAGTATTTCAGATAGATTTAGAAAATTATCTTGAGAGACACAACACAACACTTATAGACCAGCAAAATCATTGCTAATATAAAGTAGGAAACATAATTAATGAACTCATAGGACAGCTAAGTCACATGGCCAATACAGCTTTAGGAGTTCAGCTACTGCCTCAGGAAATAACTGAAAAGATAGCAATATTTTGCTACCCTCTTGCCTGTGTTACCAACCAAAATGTGTTGGTGTTTCACCCCCTGCCCTCCTCCCACACTTATTCGCACATTAGCTTAATACTTATTACCTAAGACTATTTGTCTTTATTTCTCATCCAACATGGTTCACCCTCGTTCAGGTTTATAATCTTTAGTATTTCTCATGTGGAAATGTTGTTTGCAAGCTTCATTGAAGTCTTCTTCTGGAATGCCACCTAGTGGTCTTAGCTCAGAAGAAACCAGATTTTAACTTTCCCGAGGCAAAAAAAAAAAAAAAAAAGCTATTAAAACAAACCAAGCAAGTAAAATATTTTGAAAAAAAATAATCCTGTAATTATTGTAACAGTGTGTGGGGAAGAAAAAAACACAACACTAATGATGCAGCAAAAATAATTGCTAGAGTCAACAGAAACAATATGTAGCTTACATTACCTAGTGGCTTTTCTTCTACCTGTCCTACTCCCTAACACCTTAATTGCAAAAGTATTATATAAGAGATGTAATTAACCATTAATAATGAAGCCACAGGTAAATCAATAGTCCTAGACAAGATACCTATTAAAAAGTATTTAATATAGAACAGAACTGTCAACCTTTAACAGGATGCAGATTTTTGTCAAATAGCTAACTATATTCTTATCTTGGAACTTGCATCAAGTTTATTAACGGTACTGAAAAGGTACTTAAAAAATGTGAATAAAGACAAACCTGCACAGTGTTCTTAGATCTAATTGGGGTAGTTTTAATTAGGGCCTGTAAGCTTTAATTTCTAGGCAAGTTTTCAGGCTTCAGGTGTGCAGTCTCCATTTAAATGCTTGCAAGAACCTAGCCAGATGTGTCGAGAAAAACCTTTTTCTCCTAATTATTAGTAATAATATTCCAGGTTTGAATTAATATACATATAAATCCATAAAGTACACGTTTGTATACAAAACCTTTATAAAAAGCAAGTTACATACATACAAAATAAAGACTGATACTACAGTTTCTGCCATGTAGATTATGCTAAGTATGGTAACCTAACCCGTTAATCAAGTAACCTGTTCCTGCTGTCACGATAAGGGCTGACACCTAGGACTTCCCTGAAACAGAATTACTGTTCATGTGGCCAGTAAAATCAGCCAGCTCAAGACAGTGATCCAGATGAAATCTAAAAAAATAAATATATTTGGTAAGCCTAGTTTTAGTATTTCATCACTTTCCTAATCCTGTGGCCATAAAGACCCTGGTACTGGCTTTGAGAAAGCGGGAAGAATACAAAACCAACAGTGGAAGAGAAGGGTAGGATCATACTTTTCTACAACTTTGATTTCAAATAACATTTGTATATCAACAAATACAGATAACAACAGAAAGGAAATGAAACAAAGTTTGTAAAGCACCAAAATTTTCTTAAAGCCATTTTTGCAAGAAATTAGAAAGTCTTCAGATTGCTAAATACAAGCAGTCATTAAGACAAAACGTGTTTTTATGAAGTAATTTTAATTTAAAGGTTAACGGTCAGCAACAATAGATTATCATTTAACATTTTTGAATTTCAAGACGTTACACCATTTGAATATTATATTGGCCATTTCCACTGGTTAGAAGGAGGTTCTTCAACTAGAGGCTCCCATGGTTTCCACTGTAACATTTTTCTTGACAGGGAAAGCTCATTTTCAGCCTATTAAGAAAGACCATAAACAAAGTAAATTAACAAAGGCTAGATTTAGATTAGGTATCAGGAAGAAATTCTTTACTCAGAGGGGTGAGGCACTGAACAGGTTGCCCAGAGAAGCTGTGGATGCCCCGTCCCTAGAGGTGTTCAAGGCCAGGCTGGTGTGTTGGAACTGGGCGGGCTTTAGGGTCCCTTCCAACCCAAACCCTTCTATTACTCTATGAAGTTTTTTAAATCTGTACAGAATATTAAGTTACATTTATTTCAATTCATCATCTCAGTGATGCATTACTACCTATCACTATCTCAAATTTTAAAAGGTGCTTTTATTTATTTATTTATAGGAACTGAGTAACTTTATTTTTTTTTAAATGTATTGAGTCTCCTGAGGGATACTCAGCCTGTTCACCTACTCATTCCCAATGACTACTTCATGATAACTTCATCCCTGGTATTTTCCAGTCTATTAGAATTATCCCCTTGTATCAGTCAGCTCTCCTCTGTGTTTTTCACTGATTCAGACACTGTAAGAAGCAATCTAAGTGTGCATGGTATATATGTAAACATAATACAGCAAATGAGTAATTGTGTTCATTTTTAAGATGGTCATCCCACCCACTATATGACAATTCATTTCCAGATTCTTTAAAATATATATATAAACCCATATATTTTTTTGTTGTTTGTTTTACAGTAAAGGGAAACACAGAAAAGTGTCAAGTTCTGAACAGAAGCTCAGTCAAAGGAACAGTCAAAACTACTATTCCAACTCGTACACAATTTTCAAATTTCCTGCTTTACCTGTAAAATGACTTCTTCTATTTGACCACTATTCAGTTTGTCCTGTAGCTTCTGCACATCAGTTTCCTGTGTATTCAGATATATATACATATTCAGTTTTATTGAAAAGTAGAAAGAACAGATACATCACAAAAGCACTAATTTAAACTGATTTGAACAGATACTCTACCCAACCTCAAAACTACTATCTAATTTGCTAGCTTCTGTCATATTACACTTTTTTTTTTTATTGTAAACAAAAGATCAAGCTCTCAACAATAAATACTAAAATGCGATACTATTTAAGGACATCCAAAGAGCTGTAGTGGATCTTAGTTTTTGAGAATCATATGCAACCTCCCAACAGTCGTGTTACATACATGTTACCTGTATTGCATAGTTTAACATATCAAAACATATTTTAAAGTGTCAGAGGCAAAGATTGTGCTAATATAACATATTGGTAAGAGGAAAGACATTTTTTGTGCAAATGCGTGAAAGCTACCACTGGTTTAAAGATCTTAAAAAATATATTTTTCTTCTAATTTTCAGACAATATCAGAAAAATAAAATTAATTATTTTTTAACATACCATCAAAATACTCCAGCCAATAACAAAAATGGACCTCAAGACTTTTGAATTTTTTCTGAATCAATACACAAAAGTTACTTATACTCCTGGGAAACAGGCATTTTGAAAATCGTTTTCTCATCCTAAAAATGTTGTCACACATGACACTTAATGATACAGCACTGTACTTACTGTTTGTACCAAATTAAGCCGCTGATTTACAATCTGCTCAGTGTATTTCCTATATGCTGCATCTTTGGGAATGTTTTGCAGAACACCAAGGATTTTAGTGTACAGTATTCGCAGGCGCTGAAGTGATCAAAAGATACGGTTAAAATCTGCAACTCCAATTATCTAACTACTTAACCTATTAGCTAGCACTCTTTTGTGCTACAGATAGTTACAGTATTCAATCCAGAAATAAGATTAACAGAATAGCCAAATCTGAACTACAGAATTCTGTCTTGAATGGGATTGGGATTTATCAGGACCAAAAGTTAACACTTTTTGGTTAAAAAATATATATATATATATATATATATATATATATATATATATATATATATATATATATATATAAAACCAAAGCTGCAACTTAAAGTACACTTGATGCAAAACTGAAACACCAGAAGCTGCAGTTCTAATGACCATGATTTTCACAAATCAGATATGCTTATGACCAAACCATTTACTTCTGAAAAATTACCAGGGAAAGATATAAAGAAGCATATAACCTATCGCAGCATAACTTTTTTTTTTCACCTCTCCTTATGCTGGTGCAAAGTTTTGAGTCATATACAGATTAAACTAAAACCTGCAACTTCTGCTAGTGGATTTAAATGCAGCAATAAAGGATACATTAGGATGATGAAGAAATTAAGCTTTTGTTATGTTGACAGGGTAACTGTCTAACCTAAGGGGAACAGATGCACTGTAGGAACAATGTACAACAGAAGTGAAATAGTGTAGACATAAACACAAAGAAGAAAACACAGAAAATGACATAAGGATTGGCACAGTATGTATAATTTATCTAAAGCATTATTGATTTATTTGCTCTGAACCTTAAATCCCTGTAAGAAGCAGAATTGAGTAAGTCCACCCAGAAGGTGCCTGAGAAGGTTGTAGACTAAACTAGAATCATTTGCACAGAACAATATTGTTTATCACAGTGGTTCTTTATGACATTATTCCTAAATATTGGTGGCAAGCATTTTTTGAAACAGAATTGTTGCACAGCAAGAAATTTCAAAACACAAAGAGATTTAAGAATTACTCGAATCCTTTCAAAGCTCATACCTCCTGATTAAGAAAACAAGATGCAACACACTTTCATTACTGACCCTGAGGAGGTAAAAAGAAAGCACCAAGCTTCCAAGAACCGCTGAAGCATTCCAACCTCAACAGTGTCTTGCCCAGAAGGGCAACTGCATCAACAGAGGAGTGGCCAGCAGGTGGAGGGAGGTGATTGTCCTCCTCTGCTCTGCCCTTCTGAGGCCCCACTTGGAGTGCTGCATCCAGGTCTGGGGCCCCCAGCACAAGAAGGATGTGGGGCTGTTAAGAGCAGGTCCAAAGAAGGGCCACAAAGTTGATCAGAGGGCAGGAGCAGCTCTCCTGTGAAGAAAGGCTGAAACAGCTGGGGCTTTTCAGCCTGGAGAAAATAAGGCAGCTCTGGGGAGACCTCACTGTGGTCTTTCAATACTTAAAGGGGGCTTACAAAGAAGAAAAACAACTTTTTATTCAGGCAGATAGTGATATGGTAAGGTGGAATGATTATAAAATAAGAAAGGGAAGATTGAGATTAGATGTTAGGAGGAGATTCTTCTCTCAGAGGGTGGTGATTCACTGGAACAGGTTGCCCAGAGTTGTGGATAACCCATCCCTGGAAGTGTTAAAGGCCCTAGGTTGGATGAGGCCCCAGGCAACCTGATTTTGTGGATGCCATCCTTGCCCATGGCAGGGGGGTTGGAACTAGATGACCTTGAAGGTTGCTTCCAACCCATGCCATTCTGTGGTTTTCATACAGCTGTGCATGGACAGGTTGGATGGGGCCTTGGCCAACCTGGCCTTGTGGAGAGCTAATCCACTAGACCCAACCTAAGCCATTTTATGATTCTATGACCATAGGCCCTGATCCTGCTTTGCACCAAATGGTTAGGGTAAGGTTAGGGAATAGGGTAAGATTCCCCTACAGAATTAGAAGGCTTCTATAATACATTGTTTGCACTACTTTAAGGTTTACAATGAACATATATGAACACACATATGAATGAACGTGTATGAATACGTAACAAAAAAGGATTTGCTCTCACTGACAGTTTGCATTACATACAGCCAAGCCAAAACATACCTCATGAGGATTTTCAGATACAGCCAATCCTACGAGCCCAGTGGTCTGCTCAGAGAACATAAAAGCATTTACTACACTAACGCAGCAACACCCGCGCTATTTATTTCGCTCTGTCCCCCTGTACACCTAGCTCAGCCCCTCCTGTGCCACTAACCTCTCTCTCCCACCAGACGCACCTCCTTCCGCAGACCCACAGCGCCAAACCGAGCTGCCGGTGCCGTGCCCCCGCCTCACCTCTGCGCATCCAGGGCTCGGGCAGCGCCCCCAGGCCCGCACACCGCCGCCGGGCCTGACCCTTACGGGGCCCCCTCCCCGTCCCCACACCCGCCGCCGGCCACCTCCGGGGAGGGGATCCCAGCCCCGCACTCCCCTCAGCGCCCTCCTCACCCCATCGCTGCCTCCCCGGGACCCCGCAGGGCAGAGCAGGGCAGGGCCGGGGGCCGGGACACCCTCAGCGCCCCCTCACCTTCCTCAATGCCCCCGCCATGGCGGCGCAGCCGGGCACCGCCGGGCGCATGCGCGGCGCCGAGGGCCTGAGGCGGGCGCGTAGAGGACATAGAGAAGGGCGCCGGGCTGCGCATGCGCCGCAGCCGCCTGGAAGCCGCTCGGAGGGCGCGCGCAGTGCCAGGACCCGCAGTGTGGGCTCGCGCATGCGCCGTTGGGAGGCGGCGGGGCTGGGTGCTGCGGGTTGCGGTTCCAAGCCGGGTGCGTGAGGCGATCCCCGTTATAAACACAGGCACGGCTAAGGACTGGGGAACTGCCCGCTCGTAAATGCCAAATAAAAAGCTTGTGGAAGTTCCTTGGGCGTCGGTTGTGTTTTTGTACACGTAGAATACATCTGGCTACTTGGTTAGTGGCAGAGTATAACAAAACGGTTTTACATCTGGGAATAAGGTTCAGTTTGGAGATACGGCAGAAGTTTCTAAACAATTGAAAACAACCTTAAAATGGTAT